AAGGTTTTTATTTATTTATTTATTTATTTTTATTTTCTGGTTCTAAAATACAGACTTTGGACACAGCTTTTTTTGTTTTGATATTGAAATGAAAATGACCTTATAGTTCTATTTAACTTTTTTTTTTTTTTAATTCCCAAACTGTTCTATTTATTATTGTAATTCATCCAATAAATCCTTACTGAGTGACTGCTATTTGCCAGGAATTCTTCTAAGTGCAAGAGATAGGCCAGTGAACAAAGTAAATGTTGATAAGGGCTATGAAGAACAATACAGCAGAGAATAAGTTGGGGGTTGGGGGTTATTTTATAAAAGTCTCTGGATGTGGGGGGGTAGGGGGGAGATTTCTATTCAGAGGAAATAGCCAGAGCAAAGACTCTGAGAGTAGAGCATGCTGATGGCATTCTGTGTAAAGCTCAGAGTGTGGCTGGAGCAAGGTGATCTAGGGAAACAGATGAGGCAAGAGAAGTGGTAGTGGAGATGGGGCAGAAGGTAGGTCAGATATAGTGAGAGTTCAGGGACCTTTGTAAAGGCATTGGCATTCTGAGTGAGAAGGGAAGGCATTGGATACTGGAGCAGAAAATTTGCATAACCAGGGATGTTTTAAAAGTCATCTCAGGAAAGAAATATTGTGGACTCAATTAGATTGTTGATATATTCTCCAGGTAGGAAAAACAATTTATTATTATTATTATTATTATTATTATTATTATTTTAGTGGATTAGATGTGGTATGTGAAAGAAAAACTAAGGGTCATTAAATGGAATTGGCATTTATTGAAAAAGGGGAGACTGTCATGGAAATAGATTGGTGGGTGGAGTGCAAATTAGTTGTTTTGGACATGTAGAGTTTGACATGCCAATTACATATCCAAATGAAGATGTTAAGTAGGAAGTTAGACGACATAAATCTGGTAAAGGAGAGAGGTTAGAGCTAGAGATAATGTAGGTATTAAAAAAAAGTAGGTATTGTCAGTATATAGATGTTTTTAAAGCCCTAAGACTGGAAAAGTTTGCTGAGAGAGGAAATGTTCCACGCTGGGCACTTCAGGAACTTGGAAAAGGAAACAGAAGTGGCCAGAGACATGAGAAAATGGGAGGGATGTCCCAAAGCCAAGACAGAAAGTATTCCAATGCAGAAGAAGAGTTTAACAGTGTCAAAGACCGCAGATAAGTCAAACAGCATGAAGTCAGAGACCTGACATTGCATTTGGCAGCATGGAGTTCATCGGTGTGCTTAGCATGAGCTACCACGGCGAGGATGAAAGCCTGATTTGAGTTGGCTCAATAGATGAAGGGAGGAGAGGAATTGAAGATAGTAAGTGCAGGTATACAAAATTCCCTCTGAGCTTCTCTATGAAGGGGAGCAGATAAAAAGAGTAGTGAGAGTGGGTAGGGGGCTAAGGTGAGTGTTTATAAGACTAGGGATAGCACCATGTAGTGGAACACTCTGATGGAACAGGAAACATTGGTGATATAGGAGAGAGATAGTGATGGAGAGGTAGAGAGACTGGGTCAATGGCCTAGCTGAAGAAGTTGGATGGGACTATAACCAGAGCAAATGGGAAAAATGATTGATTATTGATTGGTAAGAATGAAGGAGGCGGTGTATATAATTGATAATAAGTTTCACTGGACAAGACTAAGAAACTGAGAAGCCACGGTATTTATAGAATTGTCCCAGTGAATATTAAAATGACCAAGAATTAAGAAAGGATAGTGCTAGAGACAGTGAGCCAAGAGCTAGAATACTTAAGCAATGAGGGGGAGTGGTAAAAGGTAACTAGAGACTGTAGACTGATGGCAAGAGCATCAAAGCACTGGATGTTTGGGAGAAGGGATGGATAATGGTTTGTACATGGCAATGAGGAACAAGCAGGTATCCTGCTACTATTAATGTTTTATTATTCACATTTTGACAGAGATAAAATAATATAATCAGGGTATGGCAGTGACTATATGGGGAAACCTTGGCTTAAAACCTACCAAATCATTTTTAACCACTGCTTAGAACAACTGTAGACAACTGAAGGCTTTTTGTGCAGGGGGAAAAATACTTGAAAGTAACGAAAAGGTGTAGACTAGACAATATGCCAAGAACATTTTCTTCTTTTATATCCTGACACAGGTGAGACTTATCCAGTTTCCACACATTTTTGACAACCGAAAACACTTTAGAAAACTGGAGATTTAAACAACGTAAACACTTTGAAGGCATAGCAAAATGATAGTTTCCCCTTTCCAATATAAAGTTGGCATCATAAACAAGACATCTCAACCGCACAAAAGTAGTTTCACAACATCCAATTTTAAAATTCATCCATGCTGTCATCCTCGCCACCCCCCCCCCCAGCACCCCCCATGGAGCAGATGTATTTCTTGCTGTCAGTTAACATGTGAAATTCTGGCTCAGGGTAATGTCTGAAGTTTTTAAATAAACCGTAATGCAGCATTATTATTCTGTAACACCCACTCCAGAACAGGAGATAAGAGAAGGGGCAACTGGGGCCTGGATACTTGCTATGTACAATACAAACACTGATCCACTGTGGGAAACGACAACTCACCTGGCCACCAGCAATTGCTCAGCCTCAATCGTGCAACATAACTCGGTGCTGATAAAACAAACCATCAAAACCAAACTCTGTTATGCAAAGTGTTGAGTTAGTTTGGGGATGTCTACACAAAGTCATAAACCTGGACACTTCAGACCATTTCTATTTTTAACTGTATTTCCTATTCTTCATCCAAATGTTTGACATCGCGGACACAGAGTCTAAGATTTTGATCAGGAATTAAAATATCTGAAGACGTATCCAGAGATTTTTTTTTTTTTAAATCCCTTTATGGGAATTTAGTTTGGGTGCATTCTGGCCCTTCCTGGAATGGCAGACCTAGAAGAGGCAAGTTAAAAAAGCAGAGGGTTTTGGCCTCACGCAGTTTAACAATATGCACATTTTTGAATATTCTAGGTGTCTGTGGAAAAATTCCCAGAACAATAATACAGTAAAGAAAAATAAAACAACATTTGATATGTTTGGTAGAAATGTACAGATGGCCAGTTTTGAACTTGTAAGTTCTCCAGAGGTTTTCTTTGTCGAGGCTTCTGAAAAAAAGATCCACTCATACCCATTTTGAGACCCAAGAACGGTCAGCACACTTCAGGGTGCCTGATATTGCTCTACTGATCAAGGCCAAAATGCAGTGGCTTTTATGAGAAATACTGGCAGGTACCTGGAATCAAACTTAGACTCTTGGGTTTTATGTTGCAACTAGGGAGGCTCTTGGCAGGCCAGTTTCGGTTTTGTTAGTTATGCTGTTGGCTTTGATCTGATTTAAATTTTTGAGGAATGAACCAAAATGCAACTAACATTCACGGAAACTGTTGAGATGGCCAGAACGTAGTATCAGAGGAATTTCAGGAGCGTGGTAGATAGGGAGCTCAGAATGATCATCATCAGTGTGTTGTGGTATTCTCCTATTTTCCTCCATGGATTAAAAGAGTTTGTTCTTCTTTCTTAAAACAAATGTAGCACATAATGTATCTTAAAGCAATCAGCACATAGGCCAGTGATTTCAGAGACAGCATACACTAGTAACACAAACAACTCTTCCACATTTCAAGAATACAGTGATGGGAACTGGTACACATGAGACTTTTTTTTTAAACTTCATAGAATGTGAGCTCAGACTTCAATCACTTCCTTGTCTGGCAATGAACAAAACCAAAAGGGCTCCAGCCTAAATAATCAAATGCACAGGAGGGACCAGACGCACCAGTTACCAATGAGTCACAAGGACAGACAGAAAACTGTTAGTAGATCTTGATAACCAGGAATGAAGGTGCTTTTTAAAATGTGTACTTGAAACAATGTGTGTCAGGAGTGTAGCTGAGCAAGCCATGTCAGTGTGTTAGACAAATGGAGTTCTTGTCCAAGTGGCCGTGTGGGATCTCCTCTGCACCTTGATCTAGACCCGTGGTCAGCAAACTGTGGCTCGAGAGCCACATGTGGCTCTTTGGCCCCTTGAGTTTTTAGCAAAGGCCAGCTTAAGAATACCCTAGTTAAGTTAATAACAATGTACCTACCTATATAGTTTAAGTTTAAAAAATTTGGCTCTCAAAATAAATTTCAATCGTTGTACTGTTGATATTTGGCTCTGTTGACTAATGAGTTTGCCGACCACTGATCTAGACTGTCAGAATAGCACTAGGTCTTCTTGAAGCCTCATCTAAAAGTCTTCAAGAAAAATAATGTGGAACTCAGTGCAAGATGTCTTCGTTTACATTGTGTGCAATGACAGTGGTCTGAATGTAAGTGGCCTGGGGAGGACTTTGCCATTTGATGGGATCTTATAGGACATCCATTCCTACCACCCACTGGATGTAGGAATCGACGCGACCCATGGCCCTGACTGGTACTCAGGAATGATGATAATCTGTTGTCCCCGACCAAAGACCGTGGTTGGGCAGACTGAGTAGGTTTTGATGCCGAGTTATTAATTTATAGTAGCAAGGACTGAAAAGATCTAGTGAAACTACTTTGGAAGGAGGGTCCAGTTTCTCTCTGTAGAAAAATAAAAACAAAATGAGCCAATTCTAGAGATAAAAGTCCTCTACAGGAAGAACTAAAGCTAACAAGTGAAACCAGTTTCAAAAACTAGTTTCAAAACTAAAGTCATTTATTCATAGGATGTCATTAAGATGATAAAAAGCACAATGATCTCTGTCAAAATTTTTTTAAAGCAAACCAAAAAGTTGGCATTTGTTATGAGCCACAAGAACAGCATTCTGGAATATTCTGCATGGCCTAAGCGCCAGTACATCAGGGATAGGATCTGTCCTGATGGAGGAGAATGTGTTTTTGAAGATAAAAGCCTCAGGGAAATTTTTAGATATCTTTTAAGGAGCACAGATTTGTGGGTGTGGCGGGGCACTTTGAAATTTGGTTTTGCCTTGTACTCAGTGTAAACTACTTGCACAAAAATATAAAAGGCATGGCTTGATGTTTCACGTCTGTGTTTTATTGTTGTTGGCACCAGAAAAAGCTCATGTTCTATGTTATGTCACTGTACATACTGTAAACAAGACTTCATTAATATTGTTTTCTTATGAGTTTTTGTTTCAATGAATCTAGATTTTAAAAAATACATTCACAAACTACCTTATGTTTAAACACAATGATTCCCTTTTATTTCTTAACTGTACCCCACATCCCACAATAAAAAAATCATTTAAAGCTGTGTGTTTCAAACTTATCACTTAGAAATAAAAACAGAACATAACATAAAAACAGAAATCAGTTTGCAACATAATTTAAAGAAGCTTCTGGTTTAAAATACCACAGCAGCAATATAAAGAGCTGGTGGCAATCACATTCGGAGATGAGACCCAAATCAAATATATTTTGTCCACATTGGCGTCCAATTATAATGGTTGCTAAATTCAATCAAAAAAGTTTATTGCTGAATTTTTTGCATGGAATTTGAAAAGACAGTATCATTCAGCAGCAGAATCACAGCAGTAAAAATGAGAACAGGAGGATTTCATTGCTTTTGAGAGCTAAGGAGACCATGATGAGGACATCTTGGTGATCATCTAAAGATAATCCTCAATTCCATTCCTGTGTATTATCTACTTAAAATAAATGCAAATGACAACCACCTTTACGGGAGGGGGGTGCATAATCACCTACTTCAGGAATGAGAATAATTCCCCCTCCTTCCCCCCTTCCCCAAACACCAGATTGAAATGGCTCCATTTTCCTAATGTGAATTTCGTTCTCATTAATAGTACATCCGCTGCTCATGTATTTAGGCAAAATCAGTAGGATCACAGATTTTTAAAATCTGTTAATAGTAGTTATTTTTTTCCAGAAACAAGCCACATTCATTTCTGTTGTTGATTTTTTATTTTTTTTTTAATTTTCAAGAATAACAATTTGGTCAACTACTGTTTTGTTGAAAAAATATTAAATACACCTGAGATTGCCAGTTGAGCTCTCTATATGTCTCCTGGAGATAACACTGCTGTGATGAACAGTGAAACAAAACGAACAAAACGAGGTAGGTTAAAACAGGAAGCGCAACACAGAGATTGTTTTGCAACACCTCGGTACCACAGGTGGCCATGCTTGTAGCTTTGAAAAAAAAAAAAAAAATCCCAGACAGTCACACAAAAGTTCAAATCATCTGAGTAAGAGTTTATAAGGACACAAGTCAACCTGAACTAAATATACACATATCTCTGCACAAATGTTGCTTACCATATGTTGGGTAATTTGGAGGAAGGTAAAATGATTAGGGTCTCAGAGTTTTGGCCAAAGCCTTGCTTTCACGTTCGGTAAAATCTGAACCAAGGCTGCCTACTGCCTCAGGCAGGCATAGTAGTCTCGTCCCTTCTCTCACCAACCCAAGAGAACACAGGCAGCTCAGAAACATTTATTCTTCTTTTCAGTCACAGTTTTCATCTTGAGAAAGTGGCATTGTCAGGAGAAAGCTGGGAATGACTGGAGCCTGGATGTCATTCACTCCCCAATCAGAACTCAACAAAGTCTCATTCTTAACGAAGCTCAAACTGAGTGATCTCTTAGCCAGGAGGCCTTGTACATTAAAAAAAAAAAGATTGTGTGTGTATGTATTTTTTTTTTTTTAGCTTGTTTCCCAGAAGCTCTTTCTGTTTGACCTCATCTGTCACCCCATCTTTTGCCCTGACTTGTTGCATAATAGCTGAGGGAAAATTGTGTTATGGGATCCCCCAATCACTAGAGCCAACTCAACTCAATGACACTACTATCCCATTCAACACACTCCATGCTGTACAGGGCCATATAAAAATAGGGCCTGTCAGACTCACAAAAATGGCAGTTGATTTTATTAGTGTAAGGCTAGTAGTTTAGCCATTTAAAATCTATTTCCCCAAAGAGGGGAAAACTAGCACAGTATTTTTCTTCTCTTAAAAATTCATTAGCCAGTTGCTACCAAAAAGCAACCTTTTTGGGTTGGTGAAGGCAAAAGAGTTCTAAAATCACCCCACTGTGCAGTTATGGCCTTCAGTGTGAGGAGATAAGGTACATTTATTGTGCTGTCTCTCACAATTTGAAATTGGAAATTTTACAACATATGTATATTTAAATCTAGCAGGCAGACAGAATTAAAATCAGACTAATTTTCTCAGTATGCATTCTCTCCCCATTCTTACAAAGTAAGGGGGTAAAGAAAAAAAGGTTTAACAAAAAACCAAAACAAAACTTAGAATCCACCATAACACAGCTTAATCATAAGAGCACACAATATTTGTTTCTATCCCTAACTCCGAAGGGCACATGGTCCATCTTTGTCCACAGACAATGCAGCATTCTTGGGGATCTCCTGGAAATTCCTGCCACCCTTTTCTCTCCTTCTCAACCAGGCTGCAACATTGAAAGATGGACTGTATTGGGACGAGTGGAGGGAGAGGAAAGGGGAAAGCGATATGTTCAACCAAGCCTTCTGATTCTGCCTCTAGACTGGCATAAGTCCACATGAGTTATGTTCTTTTTTAAAATTAGAAATAACGCCATGAAGATAAGTGCCAAGTGCTCTTCCGTTACCAGTTCATCATGGAATTTCTGTTGAGGGTCATGAAAAACACTTGGCTACTTCCTCCAGATCGCACGGATGCAAAAAATACCTGTTTGAAATTAAAAAGAAGTTAGTTCAACTGCATGGTTTCTTCCCCTCTTTTCTTCCAACTGTCCATCCATTTTCTCTCACATGTCCTATCCTTGCCATGCGCCAGCTCTTAAGACTTAACGGCTGGTGTTTATCATAAAGTGTCTTTTAACGTAGTGCATCCTCTGTAAACACTCCTGCCTGCCGTTATTACTGTGACTGCTATTTATTATAATTTATTGTGGTATTGACCTGCAGGGGCACACAAGGGGCTATATCCTGACTTAACTTCCCTTTCGGTGCTCACATTTTAAAAGGGAGTTTTGAGCTAGGAGATAATATGCTGGGTTCCTGGTCGAGGACACAATAAGGCCTTTGTTAATTTTTGGAAAGCCAGAGAGGCTCCCTGTCTCTCCCTTATAAGGTCAAGAGGGCAGACTTTAGGACTGAAGAGAATCCTTTCAAATTCTCAAAGTCAAGGGGGAAATTTTGGGCCTACTGACTTTAATTCTCAATTTTTTAAATTAACAAAAATTAAATGGTTGTGGTCAGATAGGGTCAGGTGTTCAATGCCTATTCAATTTGGCATCTCGAGACTTAATGCTTGGCTTCTCTGCTGATGCAGGCATATCCCAGGCCAAAGGAGATAATGGCATTAGCAAGTAGAATCACAGCCCATTAGGTCTGGGTCTGCTAAGTCATTTTATCAAACAACTGAGAGAAGTGAGCAAAATTTGGGTTCCTGCTTGCCTGAGCTGAATGTCAACGAACCACTGCCCTAGGAAAATAACATCCTGGGCTGTGGCCTAGCCCTTGAGTCAGCCAATACCAAACTCTGGTCCAAGGCAGTTACTTTTGTTACTAGTATCAAGTCTCTGCTACTTCATTTCCACAACTTCTTCAGGAGAATGCTGTCTCTCCCAACAACAACTTCTTGAGAAGTTCTGTGGAAATGCTTATCATTTACCTAATGTAAGTAAAGCCACTGTTAGGGTCAATGAATCAAAATGTATTAAGCACAGAGGAGGGCCCATGGAAAAACAATGAAAAAAAAGAAAGAGCTGCTGTCCTCTCCAGGTTGTGTGGGCTCTGGGCTCTAAACCTTTGGCCCCCAATAGGGGCCAATAGGGGAGTGGTCCCAGCCTGCTCCTCAGGGTGTACATGGCATGGGACAGCTTGTTGGGGTGGGGTGTTTAATTAATTAAGAGTGTGGAAGTCCATGCCCAGATCACTCTTAGTCTTATAATTCCCAGACACTGGAGTCTTACTAGGGGATGGGTCTGTTTTCTGACATACTCTGGTCAGGCCCTAGAACCATCCTTTGCCACCCATAGCTGTTGTTCACCAGACCACACCAGATCAGAGTAGTTGGCCAGGATTGAATCTAGTCTAGACCCATATACCAGGGTTAGACTAAGACCCCTTTGGCTTCTGGGTCAGTCAAGACATGTACATTTTGTTTAACCCATCACATTCTTTTCTATAAAAAAAAAAAGCTGTTTTGGGGACAGCATTTCTAAGTTGGTCAAGGTCACAAAGGATAAATTCACAAATGGAGTACAACTTAGCTACTAAAGCTTTGCATTAGTCTATAGGGAGGGTGAGGGGGAAGCAGCGGTGCTGCAGAATACCCTTCCGAGGACCGAGCATGCCAGACGGACACCGCCACCTTCCCTGGGAGACAGGCCCCCTAGAACATTGCAGAAGAAACATGGCTGGAATGACACAGGACATGGCACTAGTTGAGTTTGTGATTGTGCATTTCTTAAGGAATAGGCGACATTTTTTTACAAGTTTATATTTCTACATGTCCAAAGTTACACATTAAAAAGTGAATATGTGATGAGTTAGGTCCCGATAGTGATTTTGTGAAAAGTCTCCAAGTGGAATCTAAAGTTGACCCACTGTGAAATGATTAATGATGGGCCAGCTTTTATAAATGCTTAGGAGAATTTGGGGTGTCTGCTGAATCACCATAGAGCCTTCAGGCCTCAGAAGTTACTACCAGTTTACAAGAAATTTTTAGATGTTTCTGTCTTTTTTTATATATAAAGAATATATTTTGAGGGTTCACATAAATCAAACCAAATAATGCCATTTCAAGATAATATTGATTGTTTAACACAGATGTGATTCAAATCAGTATAAAGGAAAATGAAGGTTTCACAGGTACCTGGTGGTCTCTTAAAATGCAAACACTAATGCAAATGTTGAAACGGATTTACCTTATCATTTCTTTCACATAGAAACTTTAACCTTTGAGCTCGCTTATGCATAAATACTCCATCCAAATGTCCTGTTTCCACTGACCGGATCTCAATAGCTTTCTCGCCCCAGCCCATTATCTGATTGGAATGAATGTAGGCTGTCAAAAGGAATTTCCAAAACTGCATTAAAAACATTAGATGGGCAATAACTCACAGCATCTGTTCACATCTTAACCACAAAAATGACAAACGACTTGAGATAAACAGACAAAGCAAGTCTTACAAAGTGTTATTCACAGACTTTTTTTTTTTTTTTTTTTTTTTTTTGTGTGTGTGTGGAATCAAATGGTTGTTTCACATTTCTTGATTTTCGTTTCATTTGGGGGGTGTAACTGCTGAAGGAGATAAGGAATGGTTAACCTACCCACGGACGTGGGCATTTCTCCCCATTGGAGCACCACATCCTTAGTTATCCGGCCGTAGGTGTTCACATACACCCCCTCATCCTCATAGCAAACAAGCATTTCCATCCCATCTGTTTTAGGCAAGATGACAATGGCATGAGGAGTGATATTGCCCTGAATCTAGAAGACAAAGAAAGGTCAGGCATTATTCTTTTTAAAGACAAGGCAACATCTTGACTACTAATCATTAAGAATTGCAAAAATGAGGGTCCCCCCACCATTTTCATTCTAGAGACTGACACTTTGACTTGCTTAATTGAACCACCCACCTGTCACATACTCTGGTAAACACACACCTAGGCACTTGGTGGAGAATCCAATTTACCTGGTCCTGAAATAACAACAACTCTGGAGCACCTACTGTGCGCCAAACACGGGGCCCTTTACCGATACAATTTCTAGTCCTCAGAACAAGTCCCCCTGGGAGATACCTTTTGTCTATAAATGAGGCAATTGCATTTCAGGGATTATCCAACTGGATCAAAGCTGCACTGATATGTGGTGGTGGAATTGGGACTTGAGCACATGCCTTCCAGATACTGAAAATCATGTTTTCCATCTACTTCCAAAAAAGACAGGGAGAAGCTGCATTTGATAGAGAAGAGCCTAACTGGGCCAAAAGGAGGGACCGAAACAGATTCCCACCAAATAGGTTATGGGCAGATAGCACAGATTGTTAAACTGGATGCCTAAATAACTGAATAATAAAAATTAGTGGTTTGCTTAGAAAAAAATCTAAAGTTATCACTCATTACAAAAATATCACTATTGAAATAAGTGTAGATTGACTTGTTCTAGGAGAAGAGAAGTGGTGCTGCTGTGATCCCCAAGTTGGAGATGTTATGTAGTCCAATAGCTGCTTAGTGGGTAGGAATGGGAGGATCAACAATGACCATGGTGATGCCCCAGAACTCTGATCCTGGGATGTCTCTCTCTCTCTCTCTCTCTCTCTCTCTCTCTCTCTCTCTCTCTCTCTCTCTCTCTTTCTCTCTCTCTCTCTCACACTCACACACACACACGCATGCACACACGCGCGCGCACACACACACACACACACACACACACAAGGCGAAGCTGTAATGCAGCAATGAATGACATGAATGTGTATATGTGTGTGTGTATGATATACTAAAACAACTTTTTCCCCCTCTAATTATATTTCTTTGGAGTAAAAAGTCTTTAAACTCTCAAAATACAAATCAGCAACAGATTAGGCCTCAGATTTTCCAAATAGTTAGCCTTGGAATTACATGAAGAAACCACAATTTACACTAAGCCAATACCACTATGCAAAACCATGTGCAGCATTTGGGTGAAAAAGGTGAAGGGGTTACGAAGTACAAATTGGCAGGTATAAAACAGTCATGGGGATGTCAAGTACAACATAGAGAATATAGTTAATAATACTTCAATAACTTTGTGTGGTGCCAGGCGGGTACCGACTTTCTGGGGGATCACTTCGTAAGTTACTTAAATGTCTCACCACTATGCCGTACACCTGAAACTAAGATAATACTGAATGTCAATGTAACCTAAAAATAAAAAAGAATTTAAAAATAAAATTAGGAGATGTGTTTTAGGCAATGTGTCAGCATAGTAATGTTAATACTATAATTTGCAGGGCCCTGAACCAGCTACTTTGAGTGTATTACCTCATTTAATGTGATGAAAACCATATAAGATAGGATCTTTTATCCCCATTTTCGAGTTGTGAAAGCTGAGGGTTGGAGAGACTGCCTAATGTGTCCATAACTGCAAAGTAAATACAGGCTAAGCCAGGGTGTCAGATTCCACTACATGAACTATGGAATTGAAAAGAGAAACAAAAATGGCAGAAAAAGGGCTATTGGCCTTCTCTTACATGAAATGAACGAACCAATCTCTCTTTAAAACCTGAAAATAGGAACTAATCTATGGAACACCCGCTTAAAGAACAGAATTTATGCCCTTGAAGGAAAAACACCATATGTATTTTAATCTGAAGTTCAATGAGACAACCTATCCAGTAAATGGCAAAGAAACGCTTTATGTGTTACTCAGTTTTAAGCAGTCATAAACATTAAATTTACTTGTTTGATTTATTAAAAGCATTGTCTATTTAGTGAAGGTCAAAAGTCCATCCGCTTTATTGACCAGTAATGGCATGACTTCTATTAAAAATATACAACGTTTCTACATGCAGGTTGTTGCACGGAGAACCATAACAGTAGGCTTCCAGAAACTTACATGAGATGGTATGTAGATATCATAAGAGTTTCCTGAATCAACATCAATTACATGGAAACCAGTGTGTGAACCGAAAATAACCTTTAATCTTTGACCTTCTTCTACTGTGAGATCCACAAGCAGTGGCTTGTGCTGGAGATCTGAAAAAGACTTTAAAAATCACACCATGAGTGTACACGTCATCCAAACAGGTTATCTTAATAATTTTTTCCTTTAGCCATTGCCTGGTGGCATTTAATAACTAACTTTCTTAAACAGAAACACCAGAAAATTTCTCTTTCCATTTTAAGTCTATTCATATTCTGGATCTAGGAAGAAGGGTCTAGCATCCATTTGTGACCCTTTCTCCACCCCTTGTCCCCCAGGAAAGAGAAGTAGTTTACAGTTGTCATTTTTGACACCGTCATCATATGTTAAAACTGCTGTTCTTTCCTGTTTATTTCTGGCCTTTTCCCTCAGGAGAAGGTCCAATCACCTGTCTGGCCCCTCTCTTTCCAATGTGACAGACAGGCTAACATTGGCTGCCACCTTTTCAGAGACATTCTGGGGTGGGCCACCAGGTCAGCTCTATGCTGAGCCTACTCAGGATTAATGGAAAGGCAGAGGTAGAACATCACAAAACTCAAAGACTCATTTTTTTTCACATGAATGTTTATAGCAGCTTTATATGAACAAATCCTCCAAACTGGAAAGAAATTCACTTGGCATCCTTTGGCAGGAAAAATGGTTAAACAGCCAAAACCGGTTTGGCTCAATGGATAGAGCGTCGGCTTGGGGACTGAAAGGTCCTGGGTTCGATTCCGGTCAAGGGCATGTACCTTGGTTGCGGGCATATCCCCAGTAGAGGGTGTGCAAGAGGCAGCTGATCAATGACTCTCTCTCATTGATGTTTCTAACTCTCTATTTCTCTCCTTTCCTCTCTGTACAAAATCAATAAAATATATTAAAAAAATGATTAAACAAATTGTGGTATATCCATACTATGAACTACTACTCAGCAATAATCTATACTAATCTATACTAATAAAAGAGTAATTATGCTAACTAGACTGGGAGACCTTCCGGAGACCTTCTGGACAAAGCCATGATGGTGGGGTTGAGGCAGAGGTGGTTAGGGGCGATCAGGCCAGCGGGGGGGAGGGGGGGCAGTTGGGGGCGATCAGGCCAGCAAGGGGGAGCAGTTGGGGGCAAGAAGGCTGGCAGGGGGCAGTGAGCGTGAGCAGGCCGGCAGGCAGAGTGGTTAGGGGTGGTCAGGCAGGTGATTGGTTAGGAGCCAGTGGTCCCGGCCTGTGAGAGGGATGTCTGACAACCAGAGTCGGACATCCTCTGAGGGGTCCCAGATTGGACAGGGTGCAGGCTGAGCTAAAGGACACCACTCCCCACCCTGTGCACGAATTTCATGCACCAGGTCACTAGTCCTATTAATAAAAGCCTATGTGATTGTGATGTTCTTATGCCATAACGAGCGATCACCAGGAGGCTGCGTGTGCAGTGGGCATGTGTGGGTGAGTGGGGGCTTGACACTTCATGTGCGGCGTGGAGATGGGTCCCAAGGCTCCAGCCTATCTCTTCGGGGCAATCCATCGAGGAGCCCTGAATGTGTGGGCAGTGCCTACCTCTTTGGGGCTCCTGCACTGTGAGAGGGCACATGCCAGGCTGGGGGACCACTCCTCCCCAGTGCATGAATTTCATACACCGGGCCTCTAGTAAGGAATCAACTACAACAGTGTGGATGAATCTTCAGAGAACTATGCTTAGTTGGCTAGTTGGGTATAACTATACAGGAAAAAGGAGAGCTCCAGCTAAGTTAATGTAGGTTCTACTTGTTTGAATCACAGCTAACACCGCAACTACCTATCAATCAAGTGTGCTTCTGTTTTCCTTTGCCACCTTTTACCTTTATTGGGTCTTGAAGTCTGGGAGAGAATTTGTGAAACCCCAAGTTATAATGCCACTGCCCCCTAACAGACTCCTCTCCTCATCCACTGCTAACGTCCTCACAGGATGGGAGACCTTAGCCTGGTATCCTTGTCCAGTGGGAGGGCTCAGCCTCCTGCCATCGCCAATCTTTTTTTCCAAGACCTTCCTTGCCTTTGCTCTTCCCTCTTTCCAGGCCTGGTGTGATCTGCTGAACAAAGCATTTCACATTCTCTCATGCACTTTGGCCAGTAAAATGATGGCAGCAACTTCAGAACTGGAATGGGATCTTGATTGAAAAGCTTTTGCAGTGAGAGATTTTGGCAGAACAGTAGTACCACTTTAGCTTTTAGGAGTGACCCCTTAAGTGTTATTACTAACCTAATGCATTCCAAAAATTTCTCTGTATAAAAGTGGGGTTATGGAGGGGTGCCCATTTCCACTGATGCATCTATCTTCTTGTGCACATCACAAATGAGCCCCTAACGCTAAGGGGAATAAAAAAAAAAGTGGATGATTCTGCCCTGAAGATGGACTCATAGCATTCCCAAGGCAGCTTCTGCCATCACATGGCATATGTGGGAAGTAAGTATACAGAAAGGGTCAAAGGGAATAATGGCCAAAAGTTGGGGAAAAAGTGAGAACCTCTGAGATATAAAGAAAGAGACAGAGGCAGCAAGAGAGAGAGAATGAACGGAAGAGAAATTTACATTGGCTGTGGACAGACTATACAGCTCTGAAAACATCGGAGTGCCCACAAGTACTGGCCCTTCTGGCATTTAGGGGTCAGTTTTCATGATCTAGGGCACATGTGTCAAACACAAGGTCCTCGGGCCAAATCCGTCCCGCCAGGCCTTGCAATGTGGCCCGCACCGCGCTGTCATCACTGCACTCCGCTGCGTTTCCATCACAATGACAGTTTATGACTGTTCAGTAAACCATTTGGCCCGCGATTTAGGCTGGATTTTAGATTTTGGCCCCTTCTCTGATTGAGTTCGACACCCCTAATAGGGCAATAGGACTAGCATATCCCTATTCTGCTCTTGTCGATTAGTCTAACCATGGTGGGTAGAGACTCAGACAAGGTGAAAAAAAAGCCATTGAAATTGAAGAATGTAAAGAAGCTAGATCATTTTCAGATGTGACTAAGTTCAGTTTTCATTTTAGAGAAATTGGAAATATGGAGCATCAAGTGAGTTTTAGGGACTTTACCCCACAAAGCTTATTAAGATTGTTAAGATTTAGAGACTCAGTTCAACCTTAAAATGCAGAGCTGCTGTTGGTCTGCCTTTTTGAGATGAGATATCAGAGTGCCCTAGTTAGGTGGCTGTATAAAGAATCTCTTTGCCTAATACCACAATTAAGGATTTGCCCAGGGAACCATTCCATACTAAATGCCACTTGGAGATGGTGATTCATAGACCTGAATGGAGGAGTGAGTACCCGAATTTTAATTTGACTAATTTTATAGCATTTATTACTCCTGAGTCTTTACTTTCAGAATAATAAATCTAAGAGTTTCTAGACTTTTAAAAGAGGTTTATTACATATAGGAATATTATATTAGTCTAGGTGCAAAACAGAGCACTTTGTTAACTGGTAGGAACCTAAAATAAAAAACAAAAGAAGCACTTTTTAGGTAATCACATGCCTGCTTACCTTAAATGCCATGAACTTATGATAAGGTTTGGGAGCCCAAGCATATATCTCCACGGCATTCTTTAAGGCAATCACCAAGAATTTGATCCTTTCATATTTAACTGTAATAGAAAATTATAAATTAAAAAGCATATCAATTTATTCAAGTTTTTTTATCAATGAATGTGTAAGCATAATATGCAAATATACAGGGTGAGGCAAAAGTAGGGTTATAGTTGTCTGTTTGGAAAATAATACAGTAATCAATAAGTAATAATACAAGAATAAACCATGTTTCACATATTAACAACTATACACCTGCTTTTGCTTCATCCTGTATATATAAAACGACAATTGAGAGTGATGATATTGGTGTAGGATTTTCTCAGAGAGACAGACTTAACTTCCTTTTGTGTATCTGGTTTGCATAATACTTGGGGGTCTTCTGTTTTGTACTGAACACTCTTTTCTTCATCTAAGGATGTAACTGGCTTAGGATTGTCTTTAACTACTAGGTCTAGATGTAAACTATACATTATAATAAGAATATACATACTATCCCTTGATGTTTCCTTGCCTAGCTTTTGTGTTCATTCACATGTAAGCAAGCAGGGGAGAGCTGGTAGAAAAATTAGCAAATGGGTAGAGACATAAAACTTCCATTTGCTTATTTATCCACATTGGAATTTCAATTATTAGAAATGTATAAGGAATTAGTGCCCTTATAAAAGAGAACCTAGAAAGATCCCTCTGCCCTTATGGTATGTGAGGTTGTAGCAACAAGACAGCTGTCTCTAAAGCAGGAAGCGAGTCTCAGCAGACAGTGCATCTGCCAGTACCTTGGTCTTGATGGGATTCCCAGCCTCCAGACTGTGAGAAATAAATTCCTATCTACAATATAATAATCTATAATAATAAAAACCGAATGGATTACCAAACAGGCTGTGTGGGGCAACCAGACTGTCAGGGGGGGTTAGTAAGGGGCAACCAAATGACTGAGCAGCATGCTGTGTGGGGCAACCAGGCTGGCAGGGGGGTTAGTGAGGGGTGACCAAATGACCGAACAGCAGGCTGCATGGGGTGACCAGGCCAGCAGGGGGGCACAGTAATGGGTGACTAGGCTGGCAGAGGAGGGCAGTGAGGAATGACCAGGCTGGCAGGGGGGGGCAGTAAGGGGCTACAAGGCCAGGGGGAGGGCAGTTGGGGTGACCAGGACTGCAGAGGGGACAGTAAGGGGTGACCAGGCCAGCAGTCAGGTGAGCAGCTTGGAGCCAGTGGTCCTGGATTGTGAGAGGGATCCCATATTGGAGAGGTGCAGTCTGGGCTGAGGGGAACACCCTCCCCATCTCCCAGTGCCCCTCGCCCCCATTCACGAATTTTGTGCACTGGGCCTCTAGTCTGTAATAATAAAAGCATAATATGCTAATTAGACCAGGCAGCCAAATGACATTCTGGATGTCCTTCCAGATGACCTTCTGGAAGAAGCTGGGGCTGGGAGGGAAGCCCGGGTCCCAGGTGCCTGCTGATGGCCGGAGGGAAGCCTGGGTCTGAGGTGCTAAAGGGAAGCCCAGGTCCCATTGCCAGAGGAAAGCTGGTGCTGGCAGTGGGGGAGGAAGGCCTATTCTTGCACGAATTTTGTACATAGGGCCTCTAGTTGTTTATAAGCCATCCAGCCTGTGGTATTTGGTTATAGCAGCCTGAATAGACTAAAATAGTACATACGGCAGTCATTTTTTTTTCAATGCAATTTTGAACAGAATATTCTGTGTTCTAAAGAAATTGGACATCCCAGAATAACACCAAATTCATGCTCTTTGAGCTCTTTTTATTTTTTTGAGATCTTTTTTTGAAGCATGTCCCTTTTGTTTACACATTCTGACTTTAATATACTTTCACCTATTACTTTAGCAATTTATTTCTAAATAAAATATTTACAATGTTATTTATTGATTTTTTTTCAGTTGTGCATATTATCTACTGACTTTGTAGTATGGAAAGGATTTAGTTTCTTCTAACTATCTCCTCTCTAGTCTTGCTCTTAAAGATACAAATTTCTTCTTCTCCATTCAATATAGTGACATTTGTAATTTTTTGTTAAATCACTATTCTGTGTTCAAATTATTATTGTTCACAGATGAGTGCATAGCATACCATAATTATGTTTGCTTTCTTGTTTTCCCTCATGTTTTCATGTTTTTATTTTCTATGTATCAAATAAGTATGTGTAAGCCTTCTTCTAGAACTGTAACTGCCTTCAATAGTCAAACATGACAGGTAATCCATTAGTAAAATTTTATTTTTTTTCTTGAACTCACCTCTTCTGGAACCTTTTGCTTGAACTGACAGACACACACATACATGTACCCTATTGGTTCTGTTTCTCCGGGGAGCTCTGGTGAATTCAGATGGATTATAAAGATGAGGTGAAAATAACCTTTCCCTCAGAATGATGAAGCCTAGATCCATTGTCTTTCAATTTTCTAGTATTGCTGATAAGTCCCAGGCCACCTGAGTCTGGTTCTATTATAACTAAACTGTTTATTTATTTAGTTATGATCTGGAAACTTTAAGGAGCTTCTCATTTCCTAGATACTGAAATATCATGTTGAAACATCTTGAGGTGAATCTTTTTATTTTATTTTATTATTATTTTTTTTTAATCGATTCTTCTGGGTACTCAGTGAAACCTTTCTGTGATTTCAAGGCTTTAGTTATAAAAAATGTTTCTTATATTTTTTCTTTCATACTTTCCTCTTCTATTTCTTATTTCTCTCTTTTTTTTTCTCTAAAACTCATGTTACTGAGATTTTGAGCCACTTTTTATTTTCAACTTCCCCCTCTCCATCTCTCCTTTTTTTGTTCTACTTTCTAAGAGATTTCTCATTTTTATCTTCCAACATTTTTATCACTTTTTTTTATTCCTGCCAACACATTTTAATTTCTAAGATTTTTTTCTAGTCTTCTGAATGGCTTTCCCCAACCCTGCTCCACAATTTTAAATAGCCTTTATTCTTCTTTTATGAAAAAGTTTTTATAATCTTTCCGAAGTTATCATTTCTTTCTTTAAAATTTTCTTCCACTCCTCATTATCCTGTTCCTTCTAAACCCCTTTCTAAGTTTCCTGCCTATCAGTGGATTTCTCCATTTCTGATATGTGGGCTTATCGACCACTGGGCTTCGCTTTAAGATGTTAGGCAGCAAGCTTTGTTCATGGCATTTCAAATACTAATGCCTGAACAGCTTTTCTTTCTGGCCATTTAGTTTCTCCAAAGATGAATCTTTGAATCTCTTGCTTGGGACTGACATTTTGGGAGCTAAACGGGATGAAGGTGTGTGTGTCCTTACAATTTAGTATTTCCTATCATCAGATCGGCTGTGCCAACCTTTCATCTTCTATTTCTTTCTTTCTTTTTTTTTTTTTTTTTAAATCTTTATTGTTGAAAGTATTACATATGTCCCCCCTTTTCTTCCACTGACTTCTTATAACCTGTCCCCACTACCCTATTGTATGAGTCCATTAATTATGCATATGCATACAAGTTCTCTGGTTGATTTCTTCCCACCCACCCACACTTCTGTTTTGATTGGGAGCCGGGCAGCTGCCTGACTGACTTCTACTATAAGGACGTGTTACTCATCAACTTTTCAACAATCCTTCTGTTTTCAACTTGACTTTATGCTCCCACTTGGGGCCTCAGGTCCTGGGTCTGCCTGGGTTCTGTTAAGTGACTGGAGTGATTTTGATAAATTTATTCAATGAAAACTTAAAATTCAGCATTTCCTATTTGGCTAAGTTTGTTTTTAATCATCCAGCTACTCTTGTTCAATTTTGTTGACATCTCATTTGTTGGTTTCTCTCCTCCTGGTCCATTTGTCCCTGTGGGTTTATGACATTTGTATTCCTTCACTGTCATTTTAGTAGGCAGGAGTGGCTATAAATGCTTAAACTGGAGCCTGGGGCTTTATTCTGAATGTACTCTTTAAACCTCACCCACCTGGCTTTTTTTGTTGGGAAATAATGGAAGTGTACTTAAGGTTTCAACAACATCTTAACTTGGTCATAAATGCATCAATTTCTGATATAGAAAAAAGAAACTTAACAGAATAATTCAGATTGAGCACAAAACAGTTCCATGCTTTGAGACTTACCAACTTTGTAATGTATACAGCCTTCTAAGTCCCCAACAGTGATCCAGCCTTGTTTCTTTTCCACTTCCGGGTCATTGTGTAGAATTCTGTTTCTTAGCCATGAAAGATAGTAAACTCGTAGCTTATTCTTCTTTCCTGTTGAAATAATGGAGTTTTAATTCCAAACCCCTGTGTTAGCTTTTTCTCTTCCCATCTCCATTTTATTTTAGTCATTTATTTTCATTTACAATTGTGTGTGTGTGTTTGTATAATATAAAGGCACAATAGCCAGTGTCTCCAGCACCATCAAAGTATGTGTGCCTCTGCCAAAACTTATGATTGAAACAACCCAAATTGTTTTAAACAAATAACCATTTTATAATTTGTCTATGCCTTCAGGTCGTTTATTTTTATTTTTATTTGAGCATGCTGCTCTTACACCTTCTCTTCTTGAAGCAAAGGGTAGTGTCTGCTGATAGCAGTAAGACCTAACTGTGTAACAGAATGGTTAACCAAAGTTCCAGAATAGTCTAGATCTAATTATATGAAGGAATTCTGACAACTGGACATTTTATCATACTTATGTGTGACTTCCATTCCTTCACCTGCTAACCTAACAGCATATGTGAATAGAGAGCTTCTTATTTACCTCCTCTATTACTTTAAAGATGGCAGCTGTAGTAGATTTATTTTATAATTAACAAATAGAGGGATTTTACAAGGAAACAAGAGAATTAAGTTCAATGAGGGCAGTCTGAGCTATAACACTGGACTGAGATCATAGAAAGAAATACCACACAAAAATGGGGAAGGAAAAAGAGATGAGTACTTGAAAAAAACAAGAAACAAAAAACAAGTTCCCTTTGGTAAAATGATCCTGGAATAAAGAATATTTAGTATGATAAAATTTAGGCCTGTGAGTTTTCCTTCTTGGGTATTTATTTTCCTTTGATTTCTCTTAGGTATCAAAAGGTGTTTTACATTTTACAGAGATAATATTTACCAGAAAACAATTCATTACAGCACTGCACACTGGATTTGACAGGAGAGTGCATTTGTAGCTTAAATTAAGGAAATCATAGTGAAGTTACTGCTCCTCTTTGTAGCCAAAAGCCTAGAATATGTATTGACCAGGATGAGTGGGAGAGCCACCTCTTCCCTCTTTCTGCCAACACAGACCCAAAGGCAGTTCAAGCATCCTTTGCTCCTATCTTCATCTTTTTTCTTTCCCCATCCACGCCTCATGAGAAGATAAAATGCTTTCACTTTAAAAAATGGGAATGTGTCACTCACAACATAATGAAACCTGAATGTGACTTTTCTGGTATCATTTCCACTTTTGGTAGGTGACTGGCAGATGTGTGGTTTTAAATGTGATTTGGTAGTAGAGCAATCAAAAAAGCAATTAACCAGAACAAAGGACTACACGGAATTTAACTCAAATGATAATAGGAGAATAATTTACTTGGTTAACTCTTATGTGGGCAGAATAAAAAGAAACGAAACTGAGTATTTAGTGGAAAGGTAAAAGAAAGACATTTAAAAGTAAAGACATTTTATTCAAAATAGAAGTACAGTTGAAGAGTTCAACTTTATTCAAGATTCAACCCAGTAGCACTGCATTGTCTCTGCAAAACGGTGGCTGAGTGTCGAGCCATGTTTTTCAAACTTCACTTTTGTCTTCATCTTTTTGTTTTTTGTTTTTTTTTGTTAACCCTTCCCCAAGGATATTTTTCCATTGATTTTTAGAGAGTGGAAGGGAGGGGAGAGGCAGAGAGAAACACTGATGTGAGAGAGACATGTCAACTAGCTGCCTCCTGAACATGGCCCAACCAGTGTTGGGAATCAAGCCTGCAACTGAGATATGTGACTTTGACTGGGAATTGAACCTGGACCCTTCAGTCCGCAGGTCAATGCTCTATCCACTGAGCCAAGCAGGCTAGGACTGTCTCCATCTTTTTAGTAAAGCTCTTTTGGGATCAGGAAACTGCAGAGCGTAGCAGGAATGTTCATTCCCACATTCAAATTTCTTTGCAGACGCAGTCACCTAGTGGGCCAGCTGTGCTTGCTAAAACATCAGTGGACTATAAGCTGGAGCAGTTCTTGTGAGAAGAGAGACCACAGAAATTCATGCTTATAAAATTTCTTACTCCCAGAAGCCTACGTTTTGATCTTCTCCCTCTGAGAGTAGACAGCAATGACTGGAGTGCAGACATCTTAAAAGCATCCTTGCTGAGTCCTGGCAGTGGTTAAAGGCCCATAATGATACAGCCTTCGTGGTATGTCCCTGCCTAATTCAGATTTCTAGCAGAGGTGAAAGAGATTTACCTTTGGAGGTCAGACTGTCCAGAGCTACAAAATGCAAGTGATCTCACTCTGACTCTACTGCTATAATTCATTGTGTCCCTTGTTAGCTGGAAAGGGCAGAAATTACTGTTCTTCAGGAACGAGGTGATCACTTCCCCACCTGTGCAGACCTGGAGGCCTCGGTTATCCCAGTAACATACCTGATATTGTCACGAGGACATTCAGTCCCTCGAGCACATCCATCTGCTGAAATCGCCTCCGGTTGATCAGATTATAGACTTTGCCTTGCCCGCTTCGGTCCAAAAGCATCAGGCCATTTTCAGTTCCCACCAGGAGGTTCACACCTGCGAATTTAAGAAGCACCCCAAGACTGACTTTTTACAGGCTTTAACCTTCTGCATCTGGGGTCCCTCTAAAAGCTAAGAAACGGTGCTTTGTATAAATATAAACTAATGGGCAAGGAGGCAGTGTAGTCAGGAGTGCAAAAGTAAAAGCTCTGACCTAGTAATTAAATCACTGTCTCTTTGGTAATGGAATTAGTTTTAATTTATGAAGTTGTAGCAGCATTTATTGCATCTGGGCATTTACTACCTAGTATAAAGAGTCCTTCTCAAGAGGAGCCTAAAGCACAGCTGTGACACCACCACAATTTGCCTTTGTTCCTTTCCTGTAATACCCACTCTTTCTTGGCTCTTTAAATCACACCTCGAGACTTCCCCAAGGTCCACTCCCACCCTTGTTCATGCAGTGATTTCTAGCCTATCCACCTTCAACAAAGAACAGAGCCCCATTTCCATACCCCACTGGGAGGAAACCCCTTCCTTCCCCTCACACCACAGCTTAACTTATGCTCTAAGGTTCTGCTCCCTGTTAGGAAATGAGAAAATAATTCAAGAGAAGGTGTGAATAGCTTGAGAGTCACAGGGATAATGACTGTAAGGAACTTCTCAGGCATCTAAATCTAGTCAAGCCCTCTTCTCATACAATAATCCCTATTAGAAAGCCTGTCTGGATAGCTACAATACTAAAAATTCATCCCTAGGCAAATCACCGCCCCTCCCACCCCCAACACACAACACTCACATAAACACTGAGGTCCAATGCACCATGGACTATATTTATGAATAGGTAACTTTCTAACTTCCCTTGCTTGTTGTATGTCTTATCTTCTGAGGAACATCAATGCCTGCTCTTTCATGTACACGGTCAATATTAACATGTCTATCTTGTTGGTTTTTATCTCTTCTCCAGAGGACAGAGCCTTACTTCTGCCTATCACAGTTCCCATGAAATGGTTTTTGGGCTTCACGCTCTTCTCCACTAACATCTCAAATGCCTTTGTCCTTATAAAATTGTGGCCCCCAAACCCGATCTAGTACTTTAGATGGGTACAGGTGAGGCATGTCTTTCCCTGATCTGAACATGGCATTTATAGGAACACAGACCATCACACCTACACTGAGTCTGAGGTCAGCTAAAGCCTGCAGATCTTTTTCACAGGAACTACAGGTTAATGTTTTGAGCTGAAGGGGTAGGTTCATTAACTATTTTCCTTTTCAAATTTTATCCTGTGATTACTAGAGTGGCCTTTAGCAATTCACTGAAATATGCTGGTCTCATTTTTCAGCAGTGAAAGAGAGGTAATGCCTTCACTCCCCTTGTGAGATGTTGAAGGGATCACAGAATGTGGGGCACATCACACAGTGCTGCGCACATAGTGTGTGTTGTATTAAGTGGTAACTATTAGGTCTAGTAATAATTAATGTCGTTTTCTAATACTTTTTTTAAATCGAATTTAAACAATACAACAAAATTTAATCAACAATATAGTTGCCGTTGTTTTCCACTTCTTGTGCCCAACGCTCAGGAAGCATTTTAATCCCTCTGTTGTAAAATCCTTGTGATTTTGTTGCAAAAAATTCGGTCAATGCATTTTTGAGGCATTCTTCATTATGAAATTTTTTTCCAAGAAGAAAGTTTTGCAAAGAACGAAACAAATGGTAATCGGAAGGGGCAATATCAGGAGAATATGCAGGTTGAGGGAGAACTTTCCATTCCAACTGGCGCAGTTTTTCAGCAGTGATTCTTGCAGTATGCGGTCGTGCGTTATCGTGGTGAAGAATCACGCCCTTCCGATTAATCAGCGTGGGTTCTTTTTCTCTTAAAGCTTGGGCTAACCTTTCCAATTGGGCACTATACTCTGCACTTGTAATGGTTTGGGTAGATGGTAAAAGTTCCTAATGAAGAATTCCTTTAAAATTCCACCAAACACACAACATCACTTTTTTCGCATGCAAGTCAGGTTTTGGCGTGGGCTGCAGAGCCTCATTTTTGTCCAACCATTGAGGCCGCCTTTTCAAATTAACATACAGCACCCATTGTTCATCTCCGGTAACAATTTGCTCTAAAAACGGCAAACGGTTTTGATGAGAGAGGAGCGAACTGCAAATTGTGACTCTTTGATTACGGTTGTTGTCGGTCAACTCATGAGGAACCCATTTTCCAAACTTTTGGACTTTGCCAAGTGCACGCAATTGATTGGAAATTGTTTTTTGTGAACAATTTAAAGTTGTCGCAAGCTCTTGTTGGGTAATTTGAGGATTTTGCACCAAAAGAGCTTGAAGAGCTTCTTGATCAAAATTGGACACATGGCCTCGACCACTCTTGTCATCTAACCAAAAATTTCCCTCGCGAAATTTCTCAAACCAACGCTGGCATTTTCTGGCGCTAACTGCATCTTGACCAAGAGCACTACAGATGTTTTTTGCAGCCTCACTTGCTTTTCTTCCTAATTGGAACTCGTAAAGCATGCAGTGCCGAATATGCTCTTCATCCGCCATCTTCTTAGCCCTAGTTTTGCAACAAAAACCAAACCAAACACAAAACTTTTTCAAGCAAAACTTGTTAATTGCACTTCACACGTTCTGTAGATACCACGTGTTTGAAGGTTATGTCAATACAAGTCAACGCCAAGCAAGATTTTAAACGAATGTTAAAAAATGACATTAATTATTACTAGACCCGATAGATCTATTGTTGGCTCTAGTCCATCCTTTATGTCAGGTGGTTCTGAATCTCATGTCGTTATCCTGGGTATCTGTTTGTGCCACATATAAAATTGCTCTTGATCTCTCCTGAGGCCAAGATAGACCCAGGTCAGGTCTCTAACACTCATGATTCCAGCAATGCTCTTCTGATGGTAAGATCCCCTGGCTTTAAATGCTTGAGTGTCAACTCATTACTGAGTTGCAAAGAGCACCAACTTACCCCACAGCGCTGCACAAAGTATCTCTGAGTTGAAGCGTTTCTTGTATTTTCTGATTTCTGGTGTGTCGCTATGGGGCCGGATGTTGGTTGGATTTACGTTGACTACTGAAATCTTTCTGGCTTCATTGAGCTTGGCCTGTTCTTGCCTAAGAAGTTCGCTACTAAATAGAGCTTTGAGAAAAAGAATCAGAGAAATCAGTGGCTTCTTAAAAAGTAACCCATGGAGTTATGGAGAAGGGGTTTCAAAACACAATGATTTCTTCTTGTTTAGTGTGCATTGAAGCAAAGGCAAAGAAACTCTGAAGTATGCACATTTTACATTTTTTTTTTTAGTAGAATAAAGTATGTCATTCATAGAGGCAGTATTTTATCCATTAGTCAAAGAGGCTATGGACACCACTTGAGTAGTTTAAGGGATTACTCATAAAATTAAATACATCATCCTCATGCCCTGCCATATATGCAGGGAGGATTTGCTTTTTGAAATTCCACATTGTCAGCTGACAAATTGGCCTAAGTTGAGTCTGATGATTAGTGAGTTGCAGAGGTCTAGAAAGCAAGACTCTGTGGAAAGCAGCCAGGCTTTTGCAGTGGGAAACACACACCTAGAGCTCAACACAACTCCACACACACTTATCAAGTGTCTACTGCGTGCATAGCATTATACCCAGAAATTGCTTTTGAGAAACATGTGGTAAGTTTGGAGATCTCTGAGGAACAGCTTTTCCTAGGGCCCCTGGATACCTCTGGGTTCCTACCAAAAGCGACATAGAAGAAATCAAAGACAGATGCAAAGAAAGAACAAAATTTGTTTTAGGAATCCTAAAAAAAAATAATTAAAAATAAAAGTCTTCCCTTTAAGATAGGGCCTATAGAATACATGGCTTAACTATTGAACTATATGATTAATTTGTTTTTTTTTTTTTTTTTAGTCAGGCAAGAGCAGAAAGCTTAAAGCATCGGGGCTTTCTAGCTTACCCGTGGCTGATGATTCTTCATCTTCTTCGTCTTCATCGGTGGGAGAGGTCTGATATACTCTGGGGTCCACAAAGGGGGTGAAGGATGCTTTAGTGCTGCTCCCCATACCATACTAAACAATAAGCAAGAAGATGAAAAAGAGAAAATAAATAAATACTGCAGCTAACAATACTTTGCTTGGGCTTCAAAATAATTATAGACTCTTATCTGTCCAACTGTTTACACTCTAACCCCCTAGCCTCTCTCTCTAGCTTCTTTTGCTATTGGTTACTCACTAGCCATTGTACCTTTGCTAATTATCAGACTTCAAGAGTTACAGTGAACAAATTAAATTTTGGACCCTATGTGGCGCCTTAATATCTGGTAAAATAACTGGTGCCAGAGCTTATCTCTCCCTTGAAGTAAAAGCAATCTCATATTGACCAACTATCCTTACAGACTAACACAGTTGGCAATACACGAGGTAAGCATGTTCTCACTGCAGCACAGTTAACCAAAGGCTCTCTCTTAGGGACTTAGGGCCCTTCCACACTGGCCTCCTGATGCAGGTGGATTAGTTGTTGGCTCAAGAACCCTTAAAATCTTTAATGCAGAGACAATTTCATCCAGGAATTAAGGATTTTTCCTTCCTATGACAGATTTCTATTAAAAGGATAATTATATTCATATATCTTATTTGGAGACTTCATGAAGATATTAGGTTTGCAGGCTACGCACCTTGAGGACTTACTTAAAAAATAAGTCTTAAGGGCTTGGAAAGCACCATGAAGACATGAAGTCAGAATTAGTCTATGGGTGCTGAAACTGGTTTGCTCAGTGGATAGAACATCGGCCTGCGGACTAAAAGGTCCCGGGTTCGATTCCGGTCAAGGGTATGTACCTTGGTTGCGGGCACATCCCCAATGGGGGTGTGCAGGAGGCAGCTGGTTGAGGTTTCTCTCTCATCGATGTTTCTAACTATCCCTCTCTCTTCCGCTCTGTGAAAAATCAATAAAAATGTAAAAAAAGAAAAAAAAAGAAAAAAAGAATTAGTCTATGGAACAGTGAACTCAAATATCAGGCTCACGTCACGATATTCCATATTAGAGTATTGTAAAAGGAGCTCCAATAACCATCTCCTCATTTCATTTTTGTTGGTCATCTCTATTCTTTCAACTACATTCACGTTCTTTTAATATCCCAAACAGAGCTGCATTCAACATAAGAAGCACTTTTTAAAAAAAATAAATGCCTTTAATTACTTTTTATTTTTTAATTTAAAAATATAACCAATATCCCAAGACCCTTAAACACATAAGAAGAAAACCACAAAGATCCCATCTGACTTAATTCAAGATTTCCCCTCCACTTTATAAAATCAAAATCATTTCATCCTCTACAAGACTGGACTCTGCCTCTCAAGTAGAGTACTTTCACACACATTCTCTCCTTTGATCTTTAGAAGAAGTCTGTGAAGGAGGTGGGGGCAGGCACTAATATTCTCATTTAGAGCTAGAATGGTGACAGAATTTGAACCAGGGTCCAACCCCATGGAGTCTTCCTTGGTACCCACAGAGGTGTTCTGGCAGAAAAAAAATCTGCCCACACTGCATGCTACAATAGGCTGCTGCCCTTTCCTATATACTTCTGAGTTCTTTTCCTAAAGGCAAACAAAGCCTATTTACTCTATAACTTTAAAATCCAAAAGGTGCCTCATAAGAAATTAGTGTGTGGACGACATAAAACCACCAGTGCACATGCTTGATAACCACAAGTAGGAAAGGGCCTAAGTGTGACTCACAGGACTACTTATGAAATATGACCAAGCACTATGAACTCATCTCACTGGTCAATTTGGTCAATGACATCGATGAGTACTACCTAAAACACTGTGTTTATTGAGGCTTTTTCCCCCCAGGACTTTTTCCATCTGGGAAAGATAATATCCCATCCCTCCCTTTCTTATGCAATTTGGAGTTTAGAAAAATGAACACATAGAGAATGTTATCTATTTATTGATTTTTATTTTTCATAAATAAATAATTTCAACCTCATCTAATTTAAGTCAAACTTAGTTTGACTAAATTAATGTAAATATGAACCTCAACTATTGACCTTGGATTCTCTCTTGGCTGAAGTTGCTATCACTGGCCTGGCAGGTAGAAGGTCCCAATACTGGTCCCAGTGCTGTCTCAAGTCAGTTATGGGCCTTGGGCAAAGCTCTTCACCATATGAGCCTCATTTGTAGAATCAGGTATTGGTCCCTATGTACCTGAGAACTTTCACTGCTCTGCTTCAATGATTTCCTCTATCCGAGTCTATGTATAAATAGCTATAGAGCAGGAACCAACCAAACACATTTCTGGGAGCCTGTCAAAGACCTATTCTTGAAGACAGCAGGGTTTCAGAACCCCCGAGGGAGATCAGAGCTGTTGTGGCTATTGCCCAGCACCTACTTCAGACCCAGAGTCCATTTCCTGTGAAAGGGTAGAGACACGTCCCAGGCCCTCAGTGGGGGTTCCGGCTGGGGAACGACTTTGCTGCACCAGGTCCGGGAGGTTGATGTGACCGGCAAAGCCATTGCTGTCACTGTGGCCAGATCGCTTCTTCTCTCCAGATGTCTGAGGGGGCACAACACATGGGGGGAAGGTAATTAGAGGGGGAGGCAAAGGCCACCGAGTGACATCACCCCTCACATAGCACAGGCATAATGGTCTCCAAATTGACCCACTGGTGTGCAGAAGATACTACTCAAATTTCTATTATACCTAAGAAAATAAGAAAGAGGTTATGCTTTGTTAATATTTATTGTATAGTTTGACCCCGAGGCCTTCCCTGTGGAAAGGCAGGGATGTTGCAGATAGAGGGGCTAAGTGGGGCTCGCACTTGAAAATATTTGAGTGTGTTCTTGTGTATACATATCAGGTAACTGAATCTGTGGATCATATTACTATTGGGTCGGCAGCTAAGTAATTGCGGGTTTCACACATATATGGCTTCAGTTGAATTTTTAGGTTTGCAGACGTAGTACAAATGTAAAACACATTTTGTTATTTGATAGTTGGATATTCAGCTGTTAATCAGTAAAAAAAAGTTTTTTGATCTGTTTTGTAGTTTTTGTTTGGCGTTCGTTGAAAAATGGAAAATCAAAAGGAACATTTTTGTCATATTTTGCTTTTTTATTTCTGCAAAGGGAAAAATGCATCCCAAGCTCATAAAAAGTTATGTGCTGTTTATGGTGACGAAGCCTTAAAAGAACGGCAGTGTCAAAATTGGTTTGCCAAATTTCGTTCTGGTGATTTTTCACTCAAAGATGAAAAACGCTCTGGTCGTCCAGTTGAAGTTGATGACGCCCTAATCAAAGCAATAATCAATTCGGACTGTCACAGTACAACACGTGAGATTGCAGAGAAGCTTCATGTATCACATACATGCATTGAAAATCACTTAAAACAACTTGGCTATGTTCAAAAACTCGATACATGGGTTCCTCATGAACTGAAAGAATCACAGTTAACGCAACGCATTAGCAGCTGCGATTTGCTAAAGAAACGTAATGAAAATGATCCATTTTTAAAACGACTGATAACTGGCGATGAAAAATGGGTTGTTTACAACAATATCAAGTGGAAAAGATCATGGAGCAGGCCAGGTGAACCAACTCAAACAACATCAAAAGCTGATATTCATCAAAAGAAGGTTTTGTTATCAGTTTGGTGGGATTACAAAGGAATTGTCTACTTTGAACTCTTACCACCCAACCGAACGATCAATTCTGATGTCTACATTGAACAACTAACGAAATTAAACAATGCAGTTGAAGAAAAGCGGCCCGAATTGACAAATCGAAAAGGTGTTGTATTCCATCATGACAATGCAAGGCCACACACATCTTTGGTCACTCGGCAAAAATTAATGGAGCTTGGTTGGGATGTTTTGCCACATCCACCATATAGTCCTGACCTTGCACCATCTGATTACTTTTTGTTTCGATCTTTACAAAACTCCTTGAATGGTAAAAATTTCAATAATGATGATGATGTCAAATCGTACCTGATTCAGTTTTTTGCTAATAAAAACCAGAAGTTTTTTGAACGTGGGATTATGATGCTGCCTGAAAGATGGCAAAAGGTCATTGATCAAAATGGGCAATACATTACAGAATAAAGTTATTTAGTTCCATAAAAAAATTGTCTTTGATTTTCTTTTAAAAATCCGCAATTACTTAGTTGCCTACCCAATAGATTATAATGACAGAAACCCACAAAACAGATAGCATGCCCTAAAATATGGCTGAAAAGAACCAGCGGGATTAGGTAACACTAATAATCCAGGTACGTGTGTACTCCAAGAAAATGCAGAGCTGATACCCAACTCAGGGTTCTTTGTCAGTCACCAAGACGACAAATGATTAGCCCTGGCTGGTATGGCTCAGCTGGTTGGGAGTCATCCCAAATACTGCAAGGTTGTAGGTTCGTTTCCTGGTCAGGGCACATGCCCAGGTTGTGGACTTGAGCCCAGGTGGGGGTGTGCAAGAGGCAGCTGATTGATGTTTTGCTCTCACATGGATGTTTTTCTCTTTCTCCATCTCCTTTTTCCTCCCTCTGAAAATCAATTAAAAATCTTAAAAAATAAAAACCAAACACCCAAAAACAACCCACAAAGAAAAGCACACCTGAATAATTAACTAACCAGGTCTGAAAGGAGGTGAAAAAACAAACAAACAAAAAACAAGAAGCCATGGTGATGATCCAAAGATTATTTGAAAATATGGATTTACATCCACTATCACTAATGTCAAATCTCTCAATGAGCAATCATGGTGTCCTGTGATAGCACCCAGAAAAAAAACAAAAAACAAACCAGCATGACTAGTAAAGCATTTGAAATACAGTTTATGGTACCCCTTATTAATGCCCTTTAAAGGTATTTTATAGTGTATATAATACAGTAAGACAGATGTATAATGTGTAAATAAATACACTGTATTCTGTGGCATGCTCTAAAATTTTTACCAAGAGTTGCTTGACCTAACAAATTGTAAATCCCTGCCCAGGGAAGCAAAGTCTCCTTCCCAAAATCTCAGGGACAAAATGCAGGATCAAAAGACAGCTCTGCTCCCTAAAAGCCAGTGCCCACCCCATCATAGGCCTCACTAGTACTGCGCTATTTAATTTGATATTCATGCAACTAACTCATTGAGGGCTCTTAGAGCAGATCTGATTAAGGTACGATTCCCTTCCTTGTTTTTTCTTTCATTCATTTACCCAACAATTTTGAGTGTCTACTAAATGTGAGGCATTTTGCTGAACATTCAGGAATCAGTCAGGAGCAAGGCTGATGCCTTCCCTGCCCTGTTTGGGGCTGGATGCCATAAGCAAGGGTTCATGTTGTTTCTTTGACCACACCTGCCAGGCTTCTTCTTTCCAGAACATGTCCTGTTGTTTTAAAAAAATATATATTTATTGATTTCAGAGAGGAAAGGAGAGGGGAAGAGAGATAGAAACATCAATGATGATGAGAGAATTAGCTGCCTCCTGTAAGCCCCACATTGAGGATTGAGCCCACAACGAGGCCATGTGCCCTGACTGAGAATTGAACCATGACCTTCTGGCTCATAGATTGAAGCTCAACCACCGAGCCATGCCAGCCAGCCCTTGCCCTGTTTTTGCAATTATAGCTCTGCATCTGCCTCTGACTGGAAGGGAAAGGAAAAGGAGGCATTCCCCCCCAACCGACTCCCCCAGATAAAACAGACTCCCAAGGTCCCGAAGGGGTGCATGTAACTGAGGTTACCAGGAAGCCTGAGAAGTAACTGAAGACTTCCGTGCCCTCTATGTTTCTTGGCAACACGCTCCTGACTGTAAAGTGTCCCAGAGAGAGGCAATTTCTGGTCCCATTTTGCCACAGAGCTTATCTGCACATTTCATTTTCTCAATAACATTTCGGGGATTTCGTACTAATTTCTCTGATTGTCGTCTCCCTTATGTGCACTGGGCAGCTTTTCCATTTTCCTAATTTTTGTTCAAACACTGAAATGCTTTTTAAACATTTCCCCCCAACTTTCCAGTAGCATAAATCACACATGACCTCTTTAGAGTTTTCTAGTCTCTCTTCTCTCAGGAGCATTCTACCACAAGCCAAAAACGGATGCAACAAACTGGTTCTCAAAGACCTGAAAGGTTCAGGAGCGGAAATGGCCCAGACAGTGAAAAGTTGAAAGAATCCAGCAATGACCCACAAATCTCTCTTCACTTCTGAGATGTCAACCTTTTGTTCATTCAACCAGCACCTTCTTAGAATGAAATACTTTCTGTGTGCCAGGCACTCTGCTGGGAATATAAAAATAAGTAAACAACAGCCTTGCCTTCTATGATATTATTAACAGAACCCCCCCAAATCTCTATGATCTTCATGATCTCACCACTCCTACTAAGAGATTCCAAACATATGCCTGGGATCATGCTAAACACTTTGTGTTTATATCCTCACATGAACAACATGCATTAGCTTCCCATATGACAGGAGCAAAACTTCAGTGTAAAAAATTCAATTAACTTGCCCCAAGTGACACAGGTTTGTAAGTGGTGAAATCAGGGTTTGAGCCAAGGCTGTCTGTTAACAGAGCCCAGGTGCCCTGGGAGGCTGCTGTACAAGGTGGCTCAGCTCTCAGCCATAGCTGAATGGACCAGGATTGCACACCAGAGCCAAGCAGATTGCCGCTGGAATTCACCACTGGGCCTGAGAGATCCAGCTGGACTGGGATGTGGTGATTATTTTGCAATGGGGAATGGTGGGGGGGATGAGAATAGCTGCATGTGGAGGAAGAGAAAGGTGGGAGAGAAAGGGAGAGAGAGAGAGAGAGAGAGAGAGAGAGAGAGAGAGAGAGAGAGAGAGAGAGAGGGGAGAAATGTGGCGGAAATAGTGACAGAGCCAGAGGTGTGCACATGGCTCATAGACTGAAGCTCAACCACTGAGCCATGCCAGCCAGTCGAGCTCCTGATCACTTCTTAGCATCTGCACAACCCAACTCACTCTCTGCCTTTGGTGTCCTTCTATGAAATATTCTGACTCTTTATTCCTCACCTCTGATACCTACCCCACTGTTTTATGTGGATTCTTTTTCCTATTACTTGAAACCAATAGAGGCTTCTTGAAGATAAGTGAGTGTTCTGGTTCAGTGGGGTGGATAGACCCTGGAGAGACACCAGCTGGTCAGGAAGGAAGGTGCTATGAACAGAGGCCCATGGAGGCCCAGGAGGGGCTTCAAGGAGAAAGGGAAGGTTGAGCCAGCCCCCCACAAGGCTGCTGGTGAAGAATGGGTGGCAGAAGGGAAGGGAGAATAGCTCTTCTAGCAGATGGACCCCATAGACAAAGTGGCAGATGACAGCTGGGGATGGGGGTGTGTTCCAGGACTAGAGAAAAGGAAGGCCTGGTGGGGCTAGAGGGTAGGGAAAGTAGAAGCACCGAGGTGGGGCATGCACTACAAGGCAAATTTGTGCACCACGAGATCAGGGGTAGCGGAGAATGTTCCAGAAGGTCCACACTTATAAGAAAGACGAACTGAGTAAGTCCTCCTTGATGTTCATCTTAGGGACTGAACTAATAGCACTCTATAAACTGAGTTCTTATTTCCTTTTCCTTTTCTTATTTATTGTCAGCAACACACTTTAATTTGCACTTATTTAAAAAAATACATGTACTTTTAAAAAACATATTTTATTAATTTTTTTTTATAGAGAGGGAGGAATAGAGAGAGTGAGTTTGAAACATCGATAAGAGAGAAACATCAATCAGCTGCCTCCTGCTCTACCCACTGAGCCAAACCAGTTAGGGCAGTGGTCGGCAAACTCATTAGTCAACAGTACAACGATTGAAATTTATTTTGAGAGCCAAATTTTTTAAACTTCAATTTCTTCTAAAACTACTTCTTCAAAATAGACTCGCCCAGGCCATGGTATTTTGTGGAAGAGCCACATTCAAGGGGCCAAAGAGCCACATGTGGCTTGCAAGCCGCAGTTTGCCGACCACAGAGTTAGGGCAATTCATGTACTTTTTAAGGGATTTCAACTCAAGGTTTGCTCTTCTAAAAGTCCACATTTGGAAACCGTAGAGTTTAAAAACTGAGAGGATAAAAAGGTTTTGGAGCCCTCCACAGATCAAATTCTTATAAAATACTGGTGAACGCTATTTTCAAAGTGACTGACTGTGGCCAGAGCATATTGGAGTGCTGTCAGTAATAGGCAGCCATTCGGATGTGGCTGCCAGCTGAGCTGAAAATGTGGCTCCAGATACCTGCTTCAAGGGACTGACTCTGCTTTAAAGATTCAAGCAGATTGTAAACCACGTTAGAAATCAGGTTCCTTTTATTTGGAGTCAGGGAGTAACTCACTCCAGAACATTTTTTCTCATGTTTTCCCAGGTGACAAGCCATCGTGATAGCAGCCCTCCACACGCCTGTGGAAATGACCCGTTCACTACCCTGGGAGATGTATGGCATGTACCAGCACTGTCCACGGTCAGCTTCTGCAGCCAGGCTCACTCTCCATTTCAGGCTGGCCAGAGGGGACTCTTTAGCTTACTTAAAAATTTGCAACGCCGGGAAATAAAATTCTAACAAGCTGCATTGTGCACTACTCTCCCAGTTTTAGCCATACTGCCAATTTATTCCTTCAAAGGCTTTCTTCATCTCAACACTCGAGTTCCTTTCTCTCTTACAAAAGTGAGACAAGTGAGATCCACCACCCCCCTCCTGCCTTTGGAGAGCAGTGCCTGCTGTGAGGGCTTCCCCAACTGTCCTGCTGAGCAAGAAGGACAGGTGGTGACTATGTTTCAGCAGAAGGAGTTGGGAGTAAGAACACATAACAGGAGAACTCAACTCTATGGAGAGAATGAAATAAAATAAAATAGAAGATATGTAATGAATGCTTATTATGTCTTAACTCATTTAACCCTCTCTATCATGTTATGAGTCATAGACTATTACTTATAAAATTTAACAGATGATAAAACAGATGCAGGGGAGAGGTCAAGTAGCTTTTGCCCAATGTCATCGGCAATTATTTCCCTTCCAAGTAAAGACCTGTTGTCAAGCTTGCATGGTAATGTGGGAGGTCCTGCATGGTAGAGAGACAGGTGAAAGGGAACATGTGCTCCCCCCATGTCTCTCCCCACACCCCCAACCCTGCCAAACAAAATGATGTTTCCAGAGTTAAAAAAAAAAAAGTCACTCAAAGTTCTAAGATGTATTAAAAAAAAAATCCTTATCTGAGTATAGGTTTTTATTGATTTTCAGAGAGAGAGGAAGAGAGAGAGAGAAACATCGATGTGGAGAGAAACATAGATCAGTTGCCTCCAGAATGCACCCTGACTGGGGATCGTACCGGCAACCTAGGCATGTGCCTTGACCAGAAATGGAACCCAGAATCTTTTGTGGTCTGGGATGATGCTCCAATCAACTTAGCCACCAGGCCAGGCACTAAGGTGCATTTTTAAGGTACACTGCATATTTCTTTGTTCTTTTACCAATATAGCTTAATAGTCTTTTTTAATGTGAATTTAACCAGATAAGATAATGTCATCATTTCTTGGAACTACTGTGCATTTTCTACATAAAATCCAGAAGGATAAAACCATGGGAGGAGGAGGCAAAATCAGGCATGGGTGCTATTTAGAGAGACCATTCTTTCCTATTTTCCTGAGGTAGGAAATATCTAGGTTTGCCAGTTTTATATCCTCAGGCTTAAATTTTATATTCCACTTTGCATAAATCCTACCAAAGAACTTGGACTCAGGTAATTAAGTCACACTACGAAAGCTTAGAAGGATACAGAAAAGAAGGCGGTGGACAATTAAAATCACCCAACCACTTAGATGTACACCCCCCACCCCCTCCCCCCATCCCACAAAATCCCCCATACTTAAAACACATGCCGTGAGCATTCTCTGTGAAAGTGCTATTATAAACTCCTCTTAAGAAATGCACTCCCCTGCTCAGGTTTCATACCAACTTACCTCTCTTATCATCAAGGTTCCTTCTCTTGAAATACTGCTGCTGAAAGTGTCCGGGTGAGAGGTCTCCAGCCCGTGCGAGCCAACCATGCCCACATTGTACTGCTCTGTGCCCCCGGGAGCTCCTGTCGGTCTAAGATGGAAAAGAACAATATTCATGATGATGGAAGCTTCAGGAATGCTGTTTCCTCCATGCTCATTTTTTAAAAATTATGATAAGATTTACACAACCTAAACTTTACCATTCTAACCATTGGCCTTCGGTACACTCCATATTCATTTTTAACGCTGCACTGATGTCTGAACGGATGTCCCACTTCAGCAGCTTCCCCCTCTCGACCTGATTTCCACCCAGCAGCCAGAGGGAGGGACCAGACACCCTGACCAGCGTGTTTGCACAGGCTGTTCCCTCTGCCTGGAAAGCTTTCTCGCACCCTGGCTCGTGGCTGGTTGCCTCTCATTGGTCTGATTTCATCTTAAATGATACTTTGGCTGAGAAACCTTTTCTCACCACCTACCTGTCTTTCTTATCCAACTAGACCCTCTTCTTTCTCTTTACTTTTTTCCCTCTATTCTTATCCCAATTGGCCATTCTTTCTTTTTGACTCTCTTTTAAGTTTCTCCTTGTCCCTCCTTGGAACATATGCTTATGATGACAAAATCTTTGTTTCTTTGCTCATCATTGTATACCCAGCACAGAGTTTAGCATAAAAGTGCAAAAATCGATTGTCTGAAAAACTAGTTATAAAGAAGACATTTCAATTAAGGGCATCAGTTAACGAGGCTGTTGAACTCAAACAGTATTCTGTGCTTTTTAATTAAAAATATCTTTATTGATTTCAGAAAGGGGGAGAGATAGAAACATCAATGACAAGAGAGAATCATTGATTGGCTGCCTCCTGCATGCCCTGTCCTGGGGATGGAGGTCGTAACCTGGGTATGTGCTCTGAAGGGGAATTGAACCAGGGACTTCCTGGTTCATGGGTCAATTCAACCACTGAGCACACTGGCTGGGCAGCAGTCCGTACTTTTTTAAACCTGTGTAATCACCCCACATTGTGGCATATTTGTTTCCAGTTTGTTTCTTGCTCTACAGAGTTTAGATATAATGGAGAAGTAGCAGGATCTCATGCTGGCCCTGAGGCCCTGAGAGTGGAGGCTGATACTTTCTGTGTGTTCTGAGGCACAACCCACAGCCCCAGGGAAACAGCACAAGGAAGCAGAATCAGCAAGGGCGAGGCTCAACTGCTGGACTTCTGTTTTCAACACTGTATCCAGTTGCCTCTCTTTGAAAGTGGTTTTTTTAAAAACAGGAAAATTATCGACGTTTGTTTCTCTCATTAGGTGTATTAACCACACCTTTTACTATTTTGTTCTTTAAACTGTTTCTTAAAAATTTTAAAAACATCTCTGGTTTCTTACATCCTATCAAAGCCCAGCCCAAGCATTTGATGAAATATTCAATCCAAGACGCAAGAAACACTACAGACTTAGGACATCCTGACACAGAGGAGATATCTGTCAAGGATTTTTATCTAAAACAGAGGTGAACAGACAAGTCTAGTCTCCCCCACCCCTCAAAAAATATATAGCAAGACACTTATTTCAAAGGGACTACACTGGAGCAGTGAATGAAATGATCTAAATATGGGCTAGAACTGACAAGAAATTCTGAAGAAACATTTTTAATATTTCATCCCCAGCAAAAAGCTATTAATAGCATTACAGAGACATAGAAAAAGAAATTGCTGCAATTGCCCTAGCTAGTTTGTTTCAGTGGATAGAGCATCAGCCTACAGATCAAAGGGCACCTACCTTGATTGTAGGCTCCTCCCAGGCCTGGACCCTGGCTGAGGCTCTTGCAGGAGGCAACCAATCAATGTGTTTTTCTCACATCGATGTTTCTCTGTCTTTCCCTCTCTCTAAAAAAACCAATGGAAAAATATCATTGGGAATTCCTGACTTATTGCTAGATCATTAGTAAATCAGACTAATTCTCAAACCTAGGATTTCTCCACACATTTCTTAGCTCGCAATTCAATGGTCACCCTGATGCTTATGGCGTTTGGCCTCTTGCCAGTGGTTATTAATCACCCCACTCCATCCTTCTCTCTCTTCTAACTCTTGGGAGGCAACTTTTCCCTGGTTTTCCTTTTGCTTTTTGTTCCCTGCCTGCTTCCTTCATGTGCTCTTCTTAAATGCTGCTGGTACCCAGGATTCTGCTTCACTCTACGTAACCTTTGGGAGTGCTCCCATTACAACCACTTATAGCCATTACCTGTGGGTGGAATAATCCTAAATTAATGAATCTAATCTTGTTACTCAGAAACTCATTTCTTCAACTTCCTGTTGGATATTTCCCCCAAGGTGTCCACATGTTTCTCCAACTCAACATGCTCCAAACTAAAATTGTCATCTTCCCTTCTAAATTGGTGCTTCCTTCCTCCTGGGTAACTGACCTCAGTTAGTGGCATCACAAGCCATCTAGTTATCCAAGATAGATACAGTAACTCCAAAGTTCTACTAGAACGCTTTCTCTCATCTACCTCTCATAGTCAATCTAGAGCCTGCCAATTCTATCGCCTAAGCATGCCTCAAATATTCACTATCCATTCTGTTACTGTTCCTTTTAGGTCTGCTTCCTCTTTACCTGAACAATAGTCTTCTTTAAAAAAATATATATTTTATTGATTTTTTTACAGAGAGAAGGGAGAGGGATAGAGAGTTTGAAACATCAATGAGAGAGAAACATCAATCAGCTGCCTCCGCACAGCTCCTACTGGGGATGTGCCTGCAACCAAGGTACATGACCTTGACAGGAAGGAATCGAACCTGGGACCCTTCAGTCCGCAGGTTGATGTTCTATCCACTGAGCCAAACCAGTTAGGGCTGAACAATAGTCTTCTGGATGGTCACTCTCTAGTCCTGTCCCCTCATATCCACTCCTCACAGCTGCCAAAGTGAGCTCTCTAAACTACAAATCTGACTGTGTCATTCTTCTGCTTTCTACCTTTAGCAGCTCCCTGTTGACCAAAGGATAAACTTAAAATTTCTTCCAGTGGCTTATAGGCTCTCCATGACCTGGTCCTCATTTATCACTCTAGCCTTAATTTTTCACCATAACATGCCCTCCATTTGCTTTAACAACATATAAGTTCACAAGTCATGTCGAAATATGTACTCTTAATGTGATGTGATAAAAATGACACATTACCTCTGTTATCTTCCTCCCCCAAACCACAACCTTAGTCGAATCATGAGAACAGCATCTGACTAATTCCAAGAGAGGGGCATTCTATCATATACCTAATTAGTACTCCTCTAAATTGCCAAGTTCATCACAAACAAGGAAAACCTGAGAAACTGTCACTGCCAAGAGCAATAGAAGGAGACATGACAACTAAATAACTAAGGGAAATGTATCCTGGATGGAATTCTGGGGCAGAAAAGAGTTATTTGGTAAAAAATAAAAAAAGAAATCTGAATAAACTATGGACTCTAGTTATTGTATCAATATTGGCTAATTAATTGTAACATATGCCCCATAGTAATGTTTTATATTAATAATAGGGAAAACGGTGCAGGGGTTGGGAGGAGTAACATGGGAACTCCTTGTATTATCAGCACAATTTTCCTGTAAATCTAAAACTTAAAAAACTTACTAACAATACAAGAATTTTTAAAAGGCAATGATAAAAAACGAAGGCTAAAACAACTATAACATTTTATAATTAAATAATCATTTATTGCAAAATTATTTTTCTGATATAGAGTCTGTGAAGGAAAAACTAATTGTCCAAATTTCTATAAACTGTAAAAAACAAAACCCCTCACTAATTAGGAGAAAATTATAGGAAATTTACTGTAATGAGGCCACAGGTTTGGAACAATAATTTCCTCTAATTGGATTTGTCAAAGTGTTCCTGCAGGGATTGATTTAATTCAATTCAATACACATTTATTGAACACCTGCTATATGAAAAGCCTTTGGTAAATATAAAAGCTGAAGAAAACATGGTTTCTGAAACTGAAGAGGTTAGCATCCAGAAGAGCATTAACACATAACACAAATATTCAAATAAAAGGCAGAATGTGTGTGAGAATGAAATCAAAGAGGTCATTTCGAGAAGAGAAACAACACTGGGAGCATGCAAGGCATTTGTAAGGACCGAGGAGGTTAGTTTGGCTGGAGCATGTGCTGGGACAATCATGGCCCCAGGGACAGAGAGGGTTGAGGGCAGAAGGGATATAGCATGACCGAAGCCCAGCTACCACACACTAACAAGACAGAGTTGGAGCAATGGATGGAAAGCCAGAGGGGACTGCAGGCCCAGGTGGATGATGGGGTGAGAATCATGGCTTTCTAGTGAGAATAGAAAGGAGAGAAGACAAAAATACATGTCTTTTCATTGTCCAGAATGTTGTGACACTGTACAAACTTCAATAACTATGGAAGCAGCAGATGTCCTTACTGACCCAGCTCCTGCCTCACATGTACTGTTCTGATACAGAAGGATGTCTCTCTGACTTGCTTAATATGATGCAAGTCAACCTACAGGTCTTTCCTTCCATCCTCCTATTCTATAAAGCTTTTAGTGTTTCCCGATCATAAAAATAGCACAAGCTCATCATAAATTTGGGGATATCATAATATTAAAAAGCCAAATGGATGGATGATCAAACAACAGGTTGCGTGGGGCGATTAGGCTGACTGGGGGCGGGGGGGGGGGGCGGTTAGTGAGGAAAGACCAAACGACTGAACAGAGGGCTGTGTAGAGTGACCAGGCAAGGAGGTGGGGGGGGGGGGCGTTGGGAGTGACCAAGCCAGTGTGGGGGGACAGTTGGAGGTGTCCAGGCCAGTGGAGGAGGCAATTGGGGGTGACCAGGCTGGCAGGGGGGGCAGTTTGGGGCAACCAGGATGACAGTGGGGACCGTAGAGGGTGACCAGGCTGGCGGGGGGAGGGGGGGGGAATAGCAAAGGGTGTCCAGGCCTAAGGGAGGGCAGTTAGGAGTGACCAGACTGACAGAGGGGGATAGTTGGGGGCAACCAGGTTGGCAAGGAGGCAGTTCAGAGGCAGTTAGGGGTGATTAGGCTGGCAGGGAGGGTAGTTAGGGGTGACCAGACAGGCAGGCAGGCAGGCAGACAGTTGAGCAGTTAGGAACCAGTGGTCCCGGATTGTGAGAAGGATGTCCAACTGTGTGATTGGGCCTAAACCGGCAACTGGACATCCCCTGAGGGGTCTCAGATTGGAGAGGGTACAGGCTAGGCTGAGGGGACCACCTCCCACCCCCTGCATGAATATCATGCATCGGGCCTCTAGTGCATAAAATAAAAAGCCCTTAGAGTTGTATAATCCAGAGGTGATCATTATTATAGTTTTGTTCTATTTCCCTCCATTCATTTTTCTATGCTCGAGTCACTGAGAAATAGTGTAATCTGCTATTTAGGGAAGATAATCTTAGTTATGTATACTATTATAGGTTATACTTTGTGCTATAAATATGAAACCAGCACTGCACACAGAAAAAGGTGTTTGGTTTTTAAGCCTCCTACACATCAGGATCTGCAGCTGTTTGTCTCAATGGCTGGGCTACATTTCTGAGGAGCTATCCACTTCATGGTAATGACCTATGTTGCAATGTATTTTTATTTCTGTTCTAAAAATATATAGCACAAAAGGTAAAGGTTTACCTTAACAATAGAAAATGAAAGTGATAAGAATGTATATAAGCAGCAATTGAACTCTAAAATACGCTTCTTCTAAAGAAGCAATTGTTTTATAATGGATTTTTTAATATGAGAAGTTTTTAAGGCATGCAACTATCCTGCTGTAGCAGAATTGACTGTATATATTTTATACTCACAAAAACTGAATATATCTATCAAATTGTAATATATATACACACATTTGTAACTTGCTTTTTTTCTCTGAGCATGTCTCGTTTACAATTAAGTATTTTAAATATTCTTTCATGGGTGATCATTTCAATCTGTCTAAAATTTACCAATTCTCTAAGAGCCACTCTAACCATTCAAGGATAGTCTGTTTATTATTTCTCAAAATTATAGTAATAGAGCCTCTGGATTGTTTTAACAGACTGTAGTCTGTTTCCTTTCCAAATCATCTTGCTGAAATGACTTCTCTCAAACATAGCAGCCATCATGTCCCTCCCCAGCTCAGGACACCTTTGATGCTTCCCCAATGGCTACAGGGTCAAGTGCACATTTTTCTTCTGGTCTCACCAGTCCAGACTTCCCTCCTCACACACCCCACATTCCCATTAGTAAACTCAACCTTCCGGACCTTTACTTCAACTATCCCCCCGATTCTAATATTACCCTATGTTCTTTTCTATCTCGATGACAGTGATATGTGTACTACATGTCTTTCCTCGGGACTAGGCTGTAAACCCTTTGAAGCCTGGACTTGCAATTTAACAAACGTAAATGGAAACCAAAGTCTCTGAAGATCAACTTCATTCTAGATGCCATGTGAGGTATTAAGAGTAGAGAGAGGCCATACCAGCAGACAGCAGCTACATGTTGCTAAAGGATGCCAAGGACCAAACCAGAGACGGTCGGACCTGCATCACCACCATTTGTCCACCAACCAGATCTGAAATATCATGCTGACATGTACACATAAGGAACTGTTTGACATTGAAATTGGGACTCAAAAGAACTGTTGGCCCAGAAAGGAACTCACTACAGACTGATTCATTTGCCTCTCAGCATAACCATTATGGCTTGTCTCAGTTTCGGTTCTTACAAGGGTATTTCTTAGATCACATGATCTCATACATCTAGAGGGAATAATGAACAACATAAACTGATGAACAAAAACAGACCCAGAGAAAGAGAAGCAGTGACTCTCAAACCTCAGAGGGAAAGTAGGGGAGGGTGGAGTAAGGGGCAGAGATCAACCAAAGGACTTGTGTGCATGCATATGGGCCTAGCCAGTGGACATGGACAACAGGGAGGTGGGGGCATATTTGGGGAGGGGTTTGGATGGGAATGGGGGTGAGGAGGACAATTATGTGATACCATAATCAATAAAATTAAAAAAAAAAAAGAGTAGAGAGAGGAATAAGGCACAGTTTTCATCCTCAGGGACCTCACAGGGACTCAGCATGTACTAAATATCCCAATTTGAAGCACTACATGAAACTACAGGAATACACATGAGGGACAGTGGCAGCACAGAGCGGGACCAGGCTTCACTAGTGCAGGCTGGGCTGTGCGTAGGTGATTTCTAAAGGACTGGAGAGTGCCAGACGGCAACGTGGAAGTATAGCATGGTCTCTTCGGGTGATTTTAGAAATGTGGGTATTTCTGTATCAGGGGGAGAGATGGATTCACAGCCTTGCAAAATAGGACAGGAGGCTTAAAAACCAAATGCAATTTAACATCCTTCCAAGGCTACCTTTGGATATTCCACCAAATATTGATTTTTACCTTGAAATTTTCCATGTATAATTTCGTCTCTTTCTAATTAGAATCTAAGCGTTTGGAAGGCAGAATTCAGGTATGCACTTCTTGAATGTCTCTCAAAGCCCCCGGTATGGTGTCTAACACACAGCGAGAGTTTTACCAACCTTTCAAATTCATTACCCGCCCTCATCCTGATAGTTGTACACTCAGTGCTTAAAGGGAATTTGAAACATCTGCGAGAAGAACGAACGGATGCTGAGTTGAGACAAAAACTGAGAAGACCAGCATTTTTGCAGAAATGTTCCGGATTAGTGATTTTGCCTCTTACAACAATTTTATTTGCTGTTAAAAAACACTATAATGAAATTTGTTTCAAAAATGTCATCTTTTTTGCATATTTATAGTTCTTAATAACTGGGTAATCAACAGTAAAATAACAAGAATGGCTTTTCTGTGACGGTAATTGGATTTGCCTCTCAGAATTGCTTATATGTGATGATCATTAATCAGTGGAAGACATTCCCTGTAGACTGGCCAGCCCTGTGTCTCCAATCCCTGCTGGAGAGGACAATAATTTATAGCCTGAAATGGTATCTTCTCTATAGGGAGTGAGTGTGGTGTGATGACTAATCCTAATAGCCGAGCCAAAGAAATGGAGGTGAATGAGGAGTGAAGTTGGAAAGTCAGCATCAAAGTTACAGCAAACAAGAACAACGGCTCCTATGTTTTTTTTTGTTTTTTTTGTTTTTGGGTGTTTTTTTTTGGAAATGAGAGGTGCATGTGAGTGGGACTGTATGAATGTGTTTGTTTGAATTGGGAAAGCAAATAGGGAAAAGGAGGGGTTCTTTCATCATATCTAGTCCCAAGAGGAAAAGAAGTGTGCTTCCACTTCACTGAAAAAGAGAAAAGAGGAAAGGGTATACATACTAAGGGAATTACAGGTAGATATAAATATGGATACAAATATCCAAAAAGAAGACTGCAAAGAGGCTGTCAGAACATATATGGTAAAGTCATAGTTCACAGGAAAAAGAATCACATAAATGAGAGAATGAAGACGATGAAATAGAGAAGCTTGATGGACAGATTTAAGTCAGACACTCAGGAGTTTCCTGCAGGATTATCTGATTCCTGATTCTTTTTTGGGATGCTATCCCACACTACCACATGCATTCCTCCTTTATTTAGCGGTAATGGAACATGTCTCGGGTTGTTCATTTTAACCCTAAAACGTCATTGCCCATAATTCTACTCTTCCAGGTCGAGGGGGACAGTCTCTCTGGCTATATAATTTGCCCTGGAAATGACAAGAACCAAGAAAGCATCACCAAAGAGACAGAACCTGGATAGAGAATAGGCCATTGTTGAAATGCCCATTTATTCTACTAGTAAGTGACTGTGTCTATGAAGAGAGATAGTCATAGACCTATGCTCTCCTGAAAAGACAAATCCCCAAAGTCGATGGATCCTGCCAGAGACTCATAAACAACCTTACATTTAACTCATATGTCTCATCCTTTCATTTTGGAGACCTAGCCTTCCCTGGTCCTCATTTAACAAGCTATCCTCTTACATCAGTCTGGGTATGTCACTGACAGCCACCGTCCCGTCCTGGGTCTCGCTCTCTCCATCTTCCTCCTCTTCATCACTGCTTTCCGACTCCTCGCTGGAGGAGGAGTAATCGGTCACTTTCTTCAGCGGGCGGTTTGTTTCTTCAATCCGGAGTTCTCGTAATTCTTTGGCTAACGCCGTCAGATCCTACGAGAGAAAAGTTTGTTTGGCATATGTGAGTTTTAGATAAGACCAAAGTGACATGTCTCAATAAGTCAGTGACCCGGCATAAGCAACAAGAAAAAAAAAGCTCTCTAAAAGCTCTCTATAGAATTGTTACAAACATAGTTACTGCATGGAACTAAGAAAACAATGTTTGTAGCATGTAGACACTAGAAAAGATGAAATAGATTTAAACTTTGTTCAAAACCAATTGCTAGACTGAGATTTTTAAAATCTGAATACAATGGTGTATATATGTGTATAGGTATTGTGTGTGTACACATATATACAAACATTGGGCCCTTGTTTTATTTTGGGAAGGTGAAGTTGGTCACCCTCAGGTTAATGGAAAAATGCACAGGATTAGAAATTGTTCCCCAGTGTGGTGAGGCTCCTGCCCAAGCCACGGTCATGGCCTTCCCCCTCCTATGATTGCTACTGCACCAAAATCTAGCATCAGTCACAGAACAGAGCAATTCCCAAGATTCCAGCTACAACAATGACTCATCTGGTGTGTCATCATTCCCTGGAGAGCAGAGGCACACACCAAGTAATGGCCCAACCAACCCAAAGCCCAGTGCCACTGACATTTATAGCCACGGAGCTTGAATTAACCAAGAAGAACGACACACAAAAAAAGGAGTTCTCTTCCAGAATTATCTTTTGGTTTAAGTTGCAGTCCCCTGGCAGAAACCCTGGCAAGGACTTCGGAAATGAATGTGCAAACACCAAAAGGAAGAGATCATTTTTCAGTTTTCCATGAGTATGATGAAACCTCTAGCCTGATGGATGTGATGATGTGGTAGTTAATCACCAGGCATATTGCAGGCAGTGTGCTGAGTATCTGACCACCTTTGATTTTACATGCTTTCTGAGCAATGCAGAGGGAAGCAGTTCTGCAAAAGCATGGCGGTTCTAATTTGCATGGGTTAAACTGCCCATGGCATACAGCATGCAAATGAGGAAAAAGCAATTTGACATTAGTCTTACCATTTCTCCCTATATTAGTGACCCATGTGGGAATCAGAACATTCAGTGAGAGACAGGGCATTAGGGAGAAAGAAACTCATTGAAAGATACTAAATCCCAATTTTCTTTTGGCCATATTCTCTCTTTATTTCAATCCAGAAATGTATTTGTCTGATTCACCTGATGTAGGATTATGGCAATGTAAATGATCTAAATGAGATTTTGATAATCTAATTCTAATTGGTTAGAAAAATGTGATTAAAGCGTATAATTAAGTTATAATTTAAAATACTTTTTTTTTTTTTAAAGGAGACAATAGAGTATCATGTTTCCTTATTGTCTGTTGCCTATATGTCAAGCATTGGTTAAGGCCAGGAAAGGAAACCCTAGGCATTTTATTTGGTCTGGAATTTAGGAAGTTCAAGGTGTTAAGTGGAGCTGTTTCTTTCTAATTTCATAGAAACCAAAGGGAAAGCAATAATGACTTTTAATTTTGTCCTAAATTTGCTTGAATTAAAATCTTCGGAAAAGGGAAGCTTTTGAAAATTCAAATTGTGCATTTTTCACCTAAACATGGCTCTCTGAGATTTTACACATGTGCACAGATTAGGTGCATACACACATGGCCTCGGTCTCAGTATCTGTCCCATTAATGAAAATGAAATAAAATTTTCATTTTAAAAGGTGTTTAAAAGGTACATATTAAAAGGTGTTTTAAGTGTAATGTATAGCATTAAAGAAGAGGAAAATTATCACACAGAATTTTATGCAGTTATTTCTGGTTTCTTTGGCAATGGGCCAAAATAAGAAAAACTAATATTCGAATTTTACCTTTTTACTTCTTATTTCCTCTTTGTTTCTCTCTTATTTCCTTTTGACAACTGTTTATCTTAATCAAATTAAGAACAAAATAAAGGATATGCTATACTTAAGTGCAGTGGGTAAATATCATTTAGATATTTGTTAAGGCTATGAATGAAAAAGGATATTATTATCCTCCAAACCACTAAAATAATAACAAATTGGATAAATTTTGTTTTTGTCTTCAGCATGTAGGATCATGCTAAGTCTCATCAAACAATATAACTGATATTTAAAATGTTACTGGTCATTAAAAATACATTTTATTATGATTTAAAGAGAGAATATGGTTTAAAATAGTTTGTTTCTAATGTTAATAATTCTGAGTAAAATATAATATTAACTAGATTTACTTAAATAAATAATAAACTTTTCCCACGGGTTGATTTTCCCATCTCTGAAATTTCAAAACAAGACAAAGGAGATTAAGAAAATATTAGAAGTATTTAGCTGGCCCAAAGTCCATTGATTTAAAGAAACCCTTGTTAAAATGACCTAAACTTTTACAAACACTGTATTTAGGAATACTTTAAAGTTCTGAGCTACTTTATAATTTTGCTTTTAATTAGATAGTTTTTGATTCTGCATTATTAAAAACCTATCTTTACTGAAACATTAAAAATAATTGCAAATTCCTTTTAAGTTTAGTTGGTTACAGCCTGAAGGGTGAGGCATATATGAAAAGCTGTAGGTAACAATGAGTAACTCAAAAGTAATAACTCCAGTAAAAAAAAAATAAAATAATCTATTGCCAATAGTCTATGTGTTTAGCTGAAGTTTTGTTTCTTATCCATTCTGGAAGAACTTACAGTAGCAAAATTGTAAGAAACAGACATGATCTAACACTGACACCATTGGGTTCAGAACCATTTTCATACATTTTATTTTCTGACAATACCAATTTTCTCCACATAATGAGTTTTTGTGGTAATTTATTGCTTGGATGTCTCAAGCCTGGAGCTAAAAAGTATTAAAAAAAAAAAAAAAAAAGGGAGGGAAGTGCTATTTAGCTTGGAAATATCTGAGAACGTATAACTATAAAAGAAATATGGCAAAATTGTAAGTTTTTTTTGATTACCGAGTAAATGTGAAGATAGTTAAGAGGCTCTTTTACCTAACAGTTTCTTTGATATAATACTTTTTACAATCAACTTGATATAATTTATTCCAAAAATCATAATTAATCTGATAATTATACTTTACCTAAAACGAAGCACTTTTAAGAAATAATATAATTTATTCAAATTTTAGTTCAAATTTTGAACGATTAAAATAATAGTTAAAGTTTTAAAGCTGGCCTTTTCTTTAAATATTAAATAATTTTTTATTGGTCAAGTTTTGTCCAAACTGGATGTGCTCTGGAATTTTTCAGATTCCTACATTCTAAAGAAAAAATTAGTGATAAAGCCAGTGTTTGCTTGCACCATAATCCTCATGTCATATATTTCATTAGGCTAAAGCAGTGATTGGCAAACTCATTAATCAACAAAGCCAAATATCAATAATACAACGATTGAAATTTCTTTCAAGAGCCAAATTTTTAACTTAAACTTCTTCTAACGCCACTTCTTCAAAATAGACTCGTCCAGGCGTGGTATTTTGTGGAAGAGTCACACTCAAGGGGCCAAAGAGCCACATGTGGCTCGCGAACCACAGTTTGCTGACCATGGGGCTAAAGTAAAGCGAATATACTGGTACATTTTCAAAGGTTGTGTGAAACCATCACAGACTATACTGCACAATCTCATATTGCATTAGAGTGTAATGCCAAATTAATGGAAATTCCCCCAAGTGAATTTTTTTTTTTTTTTGTGAAAAATCACACCATTAAATTAGCAACAAGTTTTCAAAAGAGCTTTAAGACTTTTCATTGCAATTCTGGGTTATCTAAATGTCAATTTAGTCAGAGAAGCCATATCAAAATCTAGGCATGGAGATGGGGGGAGGTTTAATTCAAGGTTTCTTAACTGTGGCACTGCTGACATTTGGGGTTGGAGGATTCCCTACTGCGGGTTGTTCTCTTGTCACTGAGGGATGTTCAGTAGTATATCTTCTTTGCCCACAGATGCCAATAGCACTTCTCCCATTTCCACGTTGTGACAGCCAAAACTGCCTTCAGACTTTGCCAAATGTCACTGAAGTAGAGGAAGGAAGTCACCCCTGATTGAGAACCACTGAGTCAGGCAGAATCAAGTAATCCTGTGTTTTTAGTGGTTTGGATCAGTGATACTCAGGGGAGGGTTATCGGAGTTACCTGGAAGGATTTTATTTTTTTAAAAATTACACATGGCCTTAGAGATTTTAGTAAACAGCTCCCAGCCCTCACCCAATCACTTATAATTATTTATACCACTGCTGCCCACTCTCATCTCTGTCCAGTGTGCTAGAATATATCAAAATGAAGCAATTTTTTAAAAGCCTAAAATATCATGATAAAAATCCACAAGAAACCTTATGACAGCCACCTCCACGCCAATTTCTGGACTCATGATATTTCCCTTGGATTGTGCACACACACACATTCTATTGGTAGCCAGAACATCAGAACATGGTTTTCTTTCTTCAATTCTTTGAGAGAAAACTAGTGATAATCCCTGTCCTTCTCACTATTATGAGGGAAAGGAACAAGGCCATAGAACAGAGCAATTAAAAACCTTTCCCTTTTTCCATTCTATAAGTGCCATCTACACATTGCAGACATGTAGAGCTTCCCTCTTTTATAAGCAATTATCCTTTAACCATAAAAATTACTTTCTAAATCACTCTGAGTGGTGGGGCAGTCATAATGCTGAAAAAGTGAGGGTTTTTAAGTAAAGATCAGATGCATAGAAACATGCTTGTCCCACCTGCCAAAATAGCCCATACCTCTGGCCTGAACTTTAAAATGAGGGTATCCTCTTGGCTTTACATAGTGTTTCATACTTCATAAAATGTCCTTGCACACAATCATGTGAGCAAGGCAGTGCAGGCATTTTTATCCCCATTTTACAGATGAGAAAACTGTGGCCCAGAGAGATTTATAAGACTGGTTGGTCCCAGCAAGTTATGTATTGGGGGAGCTAGAATTTGAATACAGTTTGTTGTCTCTAGAAACAGTGCTTTTTTCATATTATTTCACAAAAATGGTGCTCAGCAGAGCCACAGCCTTAAAGCCACAATGGTAGTCTTCAGATTCCATGCAGTTAGGACTCTTTGCAAGGCTTATCTCTTAAAAAACAAAAAAACATACCAAAAAAAAAAAAAAACCACCCCCAAAACACAAAAAACAACAACAAAAAAAAACCCAATAAAACAATCCTTCAGTAGGCTGTATTCATGCAGGTCTGACAAACAGCAGTAAGGCGGTCATCCTTCTTAGCAAGCTAAGATCGACAAAGCCATATATTTTTCTAATGGAAAAATGTCTCCATGAATAAGGAAATAAAGTCACTTAGCTTGCCAGTATTCATTAACTAAAGTTGCTGTTGATGCTGTAGTTAATGTTCCACAAAATTAATCTAACAATACCCAATAATTCCTTGTTCACAAATCACACACTATAAATTCTGAGTGCCCTAGAATGATGTCTTTTTTCTTTGTTAGTAAAAACACCATCTTGTAGCAAGGCTAGGGTTTGCTATTCGACGGTACTAGAATAAGACACTGTCAATAATAAATCACTGATGCTTATCTTTAGCCAGACTGCAACATTGGAAAAGTGACATTGCGCCTTAGGAGGAAGGGGTCTGGAGGTGTGTGAGGGCCTTAGTGTGGCTTTGTCCAAGGGGCTCTTCTCCCAAGAGATCACTCCAAATGAGTGAGCTTTCAAATCTGTGACTCAATGGACCACTTTTCCGGATGTCAGCATCATAAAATTGATTTCATATTGATATTTTTGTGAAAGCACGACCAAAGAAATATAATACTAACCTCATCTATCGCTTTCTTATAGCTCTGAGATAAGAGGAACCCAGTCCAGAAGAATCCACAGGAAAGGAAAAAGCCAGAAGAAAGGCAGCAGGTTAGACACAAAACAGGAATTGTTAGTACACAACCGATAAATGCAGAAGAGCAAAGAGAACTTCAACCCAGAAGAGTGAAGATTCTTCTTCTTATTACTTTCACTATGCTCTCTTACTTCAAAATATTATTAACAGAGTAAACAAAAAAGTCTTCACATTTATTTCATAGAAAAGACTAGAGTGGCCTTAAATTTGTGCACGGGTGGGGTTCCTCAGTCTGGCCAGCAATAGGGATGGTGGGAGGTTGGCCAGGGGAGGGGTTGTGGAAGGTGGGCTGTGGGAGGGCACAGACCACAAGTGGACAGCTCCTGCATTGAGTGTCTGCTTAGGCTTTTATATATATATCGATAGATGCTTAGAAAATTTAGGTGGAGAGTAACTCATCCCAAATTAATTTTTAACTTTCAAATTCCAGCCTCCATGCTCTTATTTCTGTCTTTACGGCCACTTGGGATCTGTAGTGTTACAGCATCGTAGCTAGAATTCATGTTATCAGGCCCCCTGGCAGACCGTGCTTATCAGTTTTTAGTCCCAAAAATATAGTCCTAGAGGCATGAAACACAGCAGAAAAATTGTAATATTAACTCACGTGGAAAATAATATGGAGAAAAGGCAAGGCTGACAAGGGAAATCCTTAGAAAGTACCCAAATCTTCTTAACTGCTAGTTTCAACACTTTTTGGCCAAATTTGAGTAGAAATTATGGAACAAATGATATGAATTATTTGCTAATGATCACCAAACCCATAAAGGCAGATAAGCAATCCAATATATGTTCAGCTCTTTCACCATCAGGTATGTCTTCCTTCTGGCTGCTTCTGCTCATTAATCTCAAGATATTTTGTTTCATAGTCATGAGTGTATCCCCAATTACTTAGTCTGTGGGTTTTCTGGTGAATTAAAAGCTCAGAACTCCTTGAGAGAAAAGCACTCACAGCTGGTCGACCAGATCGGGTAATGTCTCTGGATTCTTCTGGCTTCACCTTGGAAGGCTCATGGGGGAGCACAGGTGATCCTTCCGACTTGCTGTTGGCTAGAGGAAAACACAGAGGGCCAAGAAAGATAATGACTGTCAGAAAGTGCTGGCTCAAGTTCCGGAGTTCTATGTGAGTCATCCTTTAGGATTACTCAGCTGACCCATTTGCTAAGGCACATCCTCAAGCAAATCCACGAAAAAACAGTAAATGTTTAGGCAAACTAAATCAAGCAAACACACTAGTGGAAGTTCACTAGTAATAATAAGAGGAACTAGTATGCATGACCACCGTTACCATTTACTGAGCATTAATTGTGTGTTAAGCCTAGTGCTACATGCTTTCTACGTCAATTCTTGTTCCAACCCAATGATGTGGCCCATTTTCCTATTTTTACAATTGAACACATACTTAGAGAGATAACACACTGGTTTAAGGTCACATTGAAATTATGGACAGAGCTGAGATTCTCTGATTTCTCAAAGTCCTAGTCTTAAGATTCAATGTTTGCTTTCTTTTACCACTTACCCACGAGGATAAGTTACTTTGATGGAATTTTGTGGGGGGAAAATCAGAAACTCATTTTATTTGGTGGAATAGTTTTTAAATGGGTGTGTGGAGAGAGTTGTCGGGGTCCTTTAGGGAAGGAAGAAAGAGTGAGGTGGGGGCAGGAAGGAGAGTGTTGATGATAAAGGAGAGGGAACCTGGGATAGAGATGCAGAACATGGGTTGGGGAGGGCTCCCTGACAGCTACAGGGTGAAGAGCATCCCTTCCGTTTATGAGCTTATAGGTGGAGAAGAGTAATCTAGGGTTTTTTCTAGGGCAGGGACAGAGATACAAGAGTGGGTTTGATCCAGAAGAACTAGGAGCCAAAGAAAAGAAGGTAAGACTTAAACCTGAACCAGATCAGAGAATTTTCTTTAGCATTTACTCTTACTACGGATATTAAGTTATCAACAGAAAAAGGTAAGGGAATTCTCAATTAAGTAAATTTATATTTGGATCAAGGCAACACAAGTATATATAGCTGTGGGCTGTGCCACCGACGTTAGAAGAATGCATACAAGGGCAGCCATAGGCCAGTCTGTAACCCAGTTCAGAGACAGGATTATCACATTTCAAAATGGACACATGGTGACTTTATTTATTTAAAACCTTGAAAAGATTTAGAAGGTAAATAATGATTGTGTCTAGTGAAAAGGCTAAGAAAAGCGTGCTAATATTTATCAAATTGCACTTTAAAAAGTCCTGGTCTTTCTTATTTGGAAGAAAAATTATCTTCTGAAGAAGGTTATTTGGAAAGAGTAAATTTAGATTAGCTAGAACAATGTGCTGTTGTATATAATTAGCTAGACATGCTAATGTCTTTCACAAGCTTCCACGTTAACGGAAACTAAACAATGATGAATGACTTGAATTAAATGGTCAGAGGCTAATTTTTCTCTCTCCAACAGGAATAACCAGAAGAGTTAAATATCTATTTTAAGTTAAAATTTTATTTCTTCTCAAAAAAAAATATATATATTAGAGGCATGATGCATGAAATTTGTGCAAGGGGCTTGACCTTCACAGCTTTGTCCAGAAAGTTGCCCAGAAGGACAGATGTCTGGAAGGTCATTTGGCTGACAGTCTAATTAGCATATTATGCATTTCTTATTATAGATATATTCTACATTAGTCTTCATTGCATTTCACTTTGAAAAATAACTAGTATTGCCCTAACTGGTTTGGCTCAGTGGATAGAGCCTCGGCCTGTGCGCTTAAGGGTCCCAGGTTCAATTCCTGTCAAGGACATGTACCTTGGTTGCAGGCACATCCACAGTGGGGAGTGTGTAGGAGGCAGCTTATTGATGTTTCTCTCTCATCAATGTTTTTAACTCTCTATCTCTCTCCTTTCCTCTCTGTAAAAAATCAATAAAATATATTAAAAAAATAAAAATAATAGTATTATGAACTATGTTCAGAATACAAAAAGGGACTATTGGCACAATGGGAAGAGGATTCTTGGGGGTACAGGAGACTCAAAGCAGAAAATCAAATGGAAATGAAAATTCAGTGACTGGTAAGTGATTATATTTTCAAATAATACCAATATTCTGTGATCTCCCTGCAAAACATTGGTACCTGTGATTAGAAAGGGTCTAGTCCACACCAGACAGCACATCATTGGGGATGGTGACCCGCTCCTCTAAAGATATTGAGGCTGAGAGCAGTTAAGAGGCTTTTCAGAACCACACAGTGGTGGCAACGCCAGGAGCATATGTCACAGAAGTCAGGAAGTAGCCCGACTCCCCACCCATGGCTCTCCTGCCCAGGCTATGTTGTCAGGGAGAAGCAAGGGTAAGTTTTACCTCGAACCCTGGTCCGTTCACTGGACCCTGCTTGCGATCCGGGCTGTGAGCCGCCTTGGGAGCTGGGCTGGGAGCTGGGGGTGCTGGAGCTGGACGAACTGCCACTGCTGGTCCTCTGCAAGGGGCTCTCCAAGATGGGCTCAGTTCTCCTCAGGTCAGGGTTGCTGCAAGGATGGCAGAGCACAGTGACTATCCTCTCAAGACTTGCCCCCCAAACAATTTTTTACACCTTTCTCCATATTTTTATGACACTCCTTTGTATGGTAACTATTTTTGTGAAAAGTGTTAGGATCTAATTAACTAAAATAGATTTGGATCCATACTGGAAATACCCTCAACATAGAGAATACCTGCAATGATCAATGTATAATATTTCTGAAATATTCTGTATTTCAAATTTTTCATAAGGAATACAATCTCATGTTCTTTAATTCTCAAATAACGAATTATTGCCATTGTCCTCTTTTACTAAACAGTAGTGATCAGGAATTTTTTTTTGAACTATGTATTATTATTTTGTATTATTTATGTGTTATTAATAAATTCCCAAAGTATTTTTTCTAAAAATTGTGTGGCTAACCAACTGTATTGCAGATTGAAGGTGATGGGCATACGAAGGCATCTTGGTAGTTGCTCTCATTTTGTGGAATGGTAAGGTAGTGTTCTTTGTATTAAAAGAAAATCTACTGAGAGAAGTGTGGCTATGACCTCTGACTTTTCCCCCGGTGTCGGTGGTGTGGTAGTAGGATCCAGCTATTAGCTCTCGTGTAGCACGCTTTTGATCATGTAACCAAAACCTTTCTATTAAGCACCTACTTTGTAAGACTCATTAGCCTGGTATGAAAGATGGAAGAGAGCACAGGTCACAGGCCAGTCAAGTTACAACCCAATCCTAAGGATGAGTGTGTGCCCTGGAAATAATAAAACAAGGCAAAACTCTGCACACTGTGTGTAAAAGTTTATAAATAGGATCGGAGTTTGGAGAAGAATGAATGCAGTCTAGAGCAGGCAAAGTGGTGTCAGGAAAGAAACAGGCTTTGGACCCTGGAGGGGCAGGCAGGAAGGCTGTGGGAACAGCCTGAACAAAGACATAGGGGCTGGGGTTTTCCTAGGGCTTATTGGTGTAAAGAGGGCACCACTTTGGTGGAGCCCCAAAGTCTGTGTTAGGAAAGAAACCCTGGGACAGTGAAGCAATGGCCTACAGAGCCTGGCAGAGAACATGGGTCTCCCAGGGTAGGCTTTTGAATGACTGTCCAGGAGAGAGGCAGGCTGACCAGGTGGGATGCTACTGTCACAGGTGATAATAAGGCATGAGCCAGGGCTGTCCTAGGATAAAAGAGGGACATGGATATTAGCAGAACCAGCTGGGATGAGCGTGCATTTCTGATGGGACTCAGCCTTTTTCTTTGGGAAGCTAATTGATTCCCATGGGCATTAAATCCGTGACCCGAGCATCATTAGCACAAGTCCTCCCCACAGTAGCTAGCCTGCATGGATGCTGATCTTAACAAGGTTGCTATTTTTGCCACTGAAGTCTGAAAAAAGAACTTCATTTCTATGTAACCACACATAGAAATAGGAAAACTTAAAAAATGCCATTTCTGTCTTAGTTTTGTGTGAACTATGAATATTTTGAGAGAGAAAAAAGTCATACTGTTCAGATTTTTCTCTTCCTTATTATGTAGAAATAAATGGTCTGGCCTTGGGGCCAAGAGGTCTGAGATAAACTCTCTTAGAGGAGATCAATTTCAGAAGAATTCCATGAGATAACAGATTTCACTTGTTCACACATTAACTGAACCTACTTAGATTCAAATGTGTAGAAACTTGACAACATTCATCTAGCTTTCTTTAAATGCTAACTTTTAATTCAGATATTTGCCATCCCACAGACAATGCTGCTTTGTCTATGAAACATACAGTAAAGTGAAAAATGTGGCAATTTTTTCCACTTACTTAAATCATATAAAAAGTCAAAACATAAAATTAGGATTACAAAGAGCTTTTTTGGCCCAAACACTTGGGCCAAGTCTATAATTAACTGGCTAGCTGCCAAAATTCACTTTACTGTGTTCTTTGATGACACAGCCAACGTGGATAAAGGAGTCATAAGAAGACAGGCTTGGGATGGAACAGAGAATTATTTTTTGAAATTAAGCATTTAGTTATTGAATTTTACTGGGAGTTTCAGGCTTCATTTAAATCTTTTCATATTCAGAATGTACTTATCTGAGCAAATTTTAATTTGCTTTAAGAGAACACATGAATCAAAGTTGACTATTCAAGTTCCTGGGATTTTTAAATATATATATATATTTAAAATATATATATATTTTAAATGAGCAAAACAAATCTTGATGCATCACATTGACAACATAAGGCATTTGAGAGTCCACAGGGCATCTGAGAACGCCCCTTTGAACCAGCAGCCTTCATAAGGCCTAACTGCACACACTGAAGAAGAAAGGGTAGGGAACAGTGGAGGGGACATGGTGTTTTCACCCAGACTTTAGCCATCCAAGAAGGAAACAGTTAAAAGCACATGATGATACTAGTTCTAGCTTGAGTAGAGAAATTCTAGGGGTATACATGGGTCCCATGGGGCAAAGCTTTTAAATGGTACTGATTATCACAAGATGAGGATCAATACCATAAGATGAAGATGAGCTGTTAACAGACTCACTAAATCACACAGCGAGAAAGGTGGAGGCAAAACAGTGTCTTGTCAGTCCACAGGTTACAAGACCCCTTTTCTTGGGAAAACGAGGCAGCAATGACAGCTGCATTCACTACTGGAAGATTGGCGTGGTGCTTGAGTGAGGACTTGGGTGCAACACTACCAGCTTTCAAATGTTGGCTCTATCACTTACTAATTTTGTCACCTCGGGTAATTTAGTTGTGTTCATGTCCGTTCTGCATCTATAAAATGGAGTTGATTAGTCCTTACTTCGAAGAGCTGTCATAAGGCTTAAAGTAGTTAACATCTCTAATGCACATGGACAGTGAACAGAACTCTGCATTGATAGGTGTTCCAGAGTGTTTAATGAATAAGGAAATAAATATTAAATTGCCCCAAACCAAGCAGAAGGCAGGGATCCACAGGGGTGGCCCGCTAACATTTTCTTGACTGACACCAGCACAGATGTACCTCCTCCATACATTATTTAAAAACCTGGTATTCAATAGGGCTCTTGGATTTGGAGTGGCATGTACAGACTGGGAGAGTGACAATAACAAGGATTTAGTTTTTCTGGGATAAGGAAGGCTATTGAAACAGTAAAGTTCTGATTTTCCCCTCAAGTTACAGGTCCATGCTTGCTTATGCCAATTTAACTCAAGAGTCTTCTATTCGGGATGCTAAGTAGTTTACTGATTAAAACATATGGCTATATAGTGTCTTGCACCCAGTAACTGGAGTTCATTAGTACTGGATTTAGGAAGGGAAAACTGTACTTCTTAAGCATTGGGCTCTGCCTTTTGGTTCTTCTCCAACTGGGGACTTGAGGACTCAGAAATATAATTTTTCCTCTAATAATACCTATAACATAAAAGAGCAGCAGGAATATTATATCCTCTGACCCATGGGCCCGTGAGTCAGGCAGTCTTGGTTGAGTCACTGGGTCTCAAGGCAACACATAGCCTTGCATACAGCGGATCCTCAATAAATGTTTGCTAAATTTAGCCAATGAAATAAAAATATTGATAACAAGACATCCTGAACCTGTCCCTTATTACATGCGTAATCAATCTTGGGGACCCATTCTAAATGTGCTAATTTTCTAGTCTCCCTTAAGAGCCATTTCAAGGAAAAGGCTAGGAGGACATAAAGGAATATTGACCAAGTACAAGAAGTGTAGCTTAGCGGCATGGTAAAAGATGAATTATTTAAAAGCTACCTTTTTAATGGCTTTGTGGCTGGGCAGCTGTCTGACAAATGCTACAAAAAGAACTCTGAAGACCTCATTCAGGCCATCAGAAAGCAGAAGAGTCTCTGTGTTACAGTAATGGCCCTCAGTGAATCACACCTCCCATGTCCATGCACGTGTACTCCTTTATGCACTAACTCATGGCTTGACCATGTGACCTGTGGAGGCCAATGGGCTATCAGCAAGATGATGCAAGAAAAGTCTTGAAAAGCACTTGTGCACTGGACACAGTAAAGAAGCCCAGGATGACGGAGCACATGGAGGTGCAGCTGACAACCAATCAGCTCAGTGCTGCTGCATGAGTGAGCTCAAGTGAGACCAACACTTCTTTGCAAACGCATAGAAATAATAAATTGTTATTATTTCAGGCCACCACGTTTTAGGGTGCTTTGTTATGCAGCAAAGATGAACTACAGCTATCTCTATTTCAATAAAGAAAACACATCCTCAAGTTTTTAAAAACGCAATGTAATACAGAGTTGCATAGTCTGATTCAGGCCTGAAATGTTGGTCACTTGGAGACACATGATAGCTAGAAGAAGGTGTGTTGTGGGACTGTTCCAGGTGGCAAAGATGAGGATTTTTCCATCCTCCCTGTCCTCCACAAACACTCTCTGACTTTCAATGTAGGTAAGTGATTTTTACCTCTTATTCACTCCTTTCCTACCTCCTCACAAAGCCTGCAATCTTTGCACAAAGTACAATATTTAAGTGGTTCAGAGGGAAAAGTGGATGTTTTGCAAGCCACTGACCATCAAAATGTCAACTGTCTTAGGCACTGACATTATTAAAATAACACTTAACGGGGAACAAAGAGCTGCTTTTAATTTGACTATATGACAATAGTTCCTTTTCTTTTTCACTATTAGAAGGAAAAATACTTAAAGTTGAAATGATGCTTGATTTACAGCAACTAAAAAATTCTAAGCAACTGATCAGTGAACAGAGCCTCAGGGCAGAGTTCAAAGGAGAAGTAGCGGTGACAAGTGGGGCTTCAAGCCGCTTGAAGGGGGTGACTGAGGAAGTTCAGGCGGCTCTCTGGTCACAGGGCAGCCCAGTGTTCCTCAGCTCTGCTTACAGCAACACTTGCTCAGCATGGATCTGACAAATCACTGGACAAAAAATGATTCATTCAGAGCTTCCTGCTATTGGTAACCACTCAGAGTAGATTAGCTTCTTTGCCCTAAAGGGATTCCTGCTCTTAGTACAGTTCCATCTTATTTTGGACAGACCCCTTCCTAAGGCATTTCATGTGAAGAGGAAGATTAAAGCTTCATGATCAAAAGCATTCCATATTTTAAAGATCTATGCAAATAATCACAACCTTCGTGCCTAGTCTCTCTCACTAGCAAGGGAGAGAGTCCTTCTCTTATTATGAGCACAATAAAGAAGGATAAAACAGGCTGTCCAAGCTCATCCTTTTTATAGTCTCAGCAGAGGCCTTTTGCTATTTCAGTTGGTTCTAAAAAGGGGAGTTTTCATGATGAAAACTCTGAGGGAAGCTTGAGGAGCTGTAGCAGCCAAGAGCATCTGTTCCCACATGAAATCTGCTCCCATCCTGTAAAGATGCTGTTTATTTTCCAGCAACTCTCAAGATCTCTGTACCAACCGGTAGGTGGATGCGACTTCCTGTCTGCAGGATTGTACATGGTTGATGGAAAATTCTCGGAGAGTACAGAGCCTCCGTGGAAGCCTGACTGCCTTTCAGTGACCCTCCATTATCAAGAGGGGAGTTCCTCTTATGGGCTGGTCGCTGTATAATCTGCCAAGCGAGGGAAGCTCTGCAGCTGGTCACCACGGCATTTCTTTGGCAATTACTTTCTAATGTCTCAATGGTCCTCAGGGCACATTTCTGGACCTGATGCTAAGAGTCCCCTCACACCAGTCCATTTTCTTCTGTTGATTCCATAAAATGGTCTCTCAAGGGATGGTTTGTGATACTACAACCAGGCCTATCCTTGCAATTTCACTCCACAATTTTTAAAACTGTCAGGGAAGGTACACCTGATGGGCTTCTGGGTTGCCTCATTCATTCATTGATTCGTTCACTCATTGATTCGTGAGCCCCCATTACACACTGATGTCTGGGAAAAGTTACTGAAGAAATAGAAGGCCTGTGCTCTGTCCCACCGAAGTCGATATGCCTCTGACATGGAAAAGGACAAAGACATTTTTCAGAAGAGCAATAATAACGATGATGGTGGGGGCTTCTTACTTCACCTGAACTGTCTTTCCCCTTTACCTTGCTCTGATGGGCTGAGATCCTAGTCTGGGTCCAAGAGCACTACCATTTCCAGGAGAGTTCTTTCTGGCTAACGCTGGGGATATAGAAGTTGTTCTTTGAGGCACCTGAAAGAAAAGCAGAATTCAGAGATATTTTCCATAAAATAGCTTCCACAAGTGATTGCCTGAAAAAAGATTTGCCAGGAGTTACAGCAATGATCAGAAACAGAGAAGAAACATCTTTCATTTCTGAATGATTGAACTCCCTAAATAAAATCAAACAGAAGGCACTGAGGCATATTCAGCAACCATTAAGGAATATGGTCCTGAATTTTAAAACCAAATTTAAAACCAGATCATGCTCATTATTTTCATTCATTGAGCTCCCCTTTTTTGTGTGCAAGAGTGGTGGATGCCAGAAATTTCTCTAGGGTACCATGAACTCCTCTGATCACTGGAAACTGCATCAGTTGAGAGCCATCCAGATAAATTGAGATTCATTTTAGGTTCACCTCACAACTAATAAACAGTAAGGCAATTATGAAATCTGATGAGAAACTAGGGTATCAGGCTAGAACTTGGGACATAAGCCACATGTCAGTGAGCTCAGAGAAAGTATTGCAATAGATCTTGCATGTTTCCACTTCCTCTTCAACTTGCAATTACTAATTAAAAACAACATCCCAAACACAGCTTTGCAAGGTCAATCTGCAAATATAATAGAAAATAGGATTAACACTGAAAATACTGGAAGGGTCTTCAAAAAGACTGAGTACCAATTGCACTGCGAGATACATTAGGAAAATGTATGTATCATTAGTTAACCTGGCAAAGACCTAAGGTAGAATTCAAGTGTGCCTTCTTTTATGAAACATTTCTTAATGAAATCAAATATGGTAAGTATATTTAAGGAGTCCAACCTGAGGAGAGAGTAGAGAGAAAACCTACTTAAACTTACTTTATGAAAGTGACTAGGAAATGAAAATGTTGATGTCCCATGACAGCTAATTGGGTTAGACATTCATCAGGTACTTCAGTTTTTCTTCATTTTTATTTTTTATTTTTTTTGAGGCGGGGAGGGTCTCTTTTAGTGTTTTGAACTAGATATTTTAAAAATGTGCCATATTTTAAGATTATCAATACATTAAATGTCATTGACATTAAAAGAAATTTTGTTGGTTATTAGAATATATTTTAAGATAAAGACCTAGAAAGACGAGCCAGTGACATGAAGCAAAATGACCAAATCAGTGCTCCCACCTGCTCAAATTAAACATCACTTCTACTGTCTTACTTTATTGTTTTTGTGAGCTTAAATAGGTGTAGAGAAGAAATAGTCTAATGAACAATTAAAACCTGAAATGTTTGTATTGATCTAAATTTTTCTCCCAGAGTTTACAAACATGTGCTTGCACATTTTCAGAGAGTGGACTGATAACCTCCATTATCATTTTCCCCAGATCTTGTGTCTGCTCCTCCATCCATTTTCCATATTGAACTTGGCTCCCATAAGAACCTTTTTGTATGGCATCTCTACTTCCACAAGAGAACACCACTACTTATTTCCAAAACAATGGATATCTTCTTATAATGTCCTTATGAGGAAAAAGGTTTAGAAACCATGTGGTGTTATATATTTTTATTATTGTTTTTTTTTTTTCTTTTCTGGAATCAATGGCATTGGTCACTGGAAATTTTGCAATATCCCAATTGTCATAGCTCTTATGCTGAGTTCAGAAGGAAGGGGAATCCTGAACCAGAGAGAATCTGATGCAAAACATTTCTCCACTATTTTTTAATACTTCCAGGTTCTCTTCAGTGAGATGCATGGTCACGTGGGCAATTTTTGGAATGAGTAATGACTTTTGTAGGCAAAAGCAAAACAAAAGAAACCAAAGCCAGGACTGTGCAGTGTGTGGTGATGGTTATTTTACCCTAGAGTTTTATTCTCAGTAATATCTTAAACTTGGAATTAAATGCTGACCTGGCCTACAAGAAGCTTTCCATAAATGCGACTAACAAAAATATTATAGGAGCAATAATATTTTCAGAATACCTGAAATCTGGTTTCACTTTGTATTGTTAAAAATAGGGGTAAATGAATTTTCTACTTTTTATCTGTAAATCTTTAATTTGTCCTAATATAGATTTGGTCACCGATAAAAATATCCATTATTATTCTCTTAATGTGGATAGTAAAACAGTAGTTTGAAATGTTTGGGGTTGAAAATTCTAATTCTGGATAGAGGATGTATACGTACTTCCAAATCATCTGATCAACCTGAGCCTCTGTCTCTTTGGGGAAAACAGAGGTCAGAAATGATAAACGACAATCCAATTTGTAGCTTGGGAATCAGGAGGGACAAAAACAGACGTGACAAGGGACAGTGCTTTGGCATAATGTCCATTACTATGAAAGGTCTGGAATAGGGGTAATCATCACCATCGACGATGATGACGATGATGGTGATGGCAATGAGAACACCCCAGTGATGTTACCTTTGGTGGAATGTCTTCTTCCTGTCGTAACCAAGAGCTTCTGTCAAACTTCTCAATGCGAGTGGGGAGAGGAGGGTTTTCCGAGGTGGGATCCGAGTTCTGGCGTGGCATCTCAACGCGGTGCGAGGTCACGTTCAGAGCCTCCTGAAACCCGGAGAGGCCCTTGGTGGGCTGCTCGTGCACTGACTGGGAGGCGGTCAAGGCAGGTCCTTGGGACTTTACAGCTACCAGATGTGGGATCTAAGCATCAAACCAACATCAGAGCAGGATTATTAGAAGAAAGACCAGATCAGCCAGTAAGTACCTCACTTAGTGATAGAGAAAATAAAGTTGTAGGGCACAAGGACTGGTGTACATAGAGCCCAATCACAGCTACCTACAGCACACTTTTAAAAGCTCTCCAAAATTTTCCACTTAGAGTTCTGTGTAGGGCTGAACCATGGTTCCAGGCCAAAAGTTAAGTGATTTACTTGCTAAGAAGTCAGTGAAATAAGTGGGATGATACTAACATTAACAATTTTAAGTGAACATATATTGACCAGCAATACATTTATAAGTACTCCTCTTCTAATATTGGAAACAGCATTCTTGAAAACCCCTGACCTTGATTTTAGAGAGTGCTCCTGTGCTGTGAAACAAGAATTGCCGTGGATAGCTTACTTCTTGGGTACTCACTACTAAATCCACCATGAGGTTGACACAATTATTTCCCCCATTTTACATGAGAGAATGAAAGGCATAGATAGACAGGTTAAGTAACAGCCTAGATTTCACAGCTAATAGGTACCAGAGCCTGGATTATAATCCATACATCCTCTCATGTAACACTCGACTGCGAGGCTCTCCTGCTTTGTGATGAACTGGTTCTTCCCACCTATGATATTTTATACATCTGAACTCCAGGACATTTCTTCTAGAGTTGTCTCACAATTGTACATTGTGCCAATATTTTTCATGCAGGAAAGACATGCAGTCTTTGGGTTTAATCTGGCTCTGTAGGACAAATCATTAAAAATCTAGATTTCTGAGCATCCTTTGCTGTTAGCACTGCTCACAACTTCTTTGTTAATGACATGTAAGCTTGTCTCCTCTTCCCACACGAAGGCAAGCTCCCTGGAGAAAGGAGCCACATCAACATTGTATCTCTGAGTCTAGCACTATGCCTGGCATGTGGAAGGTCAATAAATCCTGGTTGGGGAAACCCCTAGAATGTGTTCTAAATTAAAGTGCATATCTGGTTTGGACAGGGGACCTATCACATCCTCTTTGGTCTGAAATCTCAGTGTCTGGACTGCTGGGGGGCATTTCTCAAGCCCTCTCCATAGCCTAGCCCCGTTCTTCTTGCTCTGGAGGTCTTATTGGGGCAGTTATGCCTCAACCTTTTCATACCCTCTTTAAGCTGGAATTTGGAATATTATTATAGTTCAAAGAAAATCCTCAAAGCCTAGCTCAGCTGAATGTTATGCTTCCATCAGAATAAAGCTGTAACCAAATATATATTAATATTAAATTTCACTAGGTAATAATGTTACAACAAAGTATATTTTAAAGATATGTAGCACAAAATACAAACCTACTTAAAAGCATCGAAGAAATAACAATAATCAAAATTTCTGGAAAATGCTAATCCAATTAGCTGTTATGGGGTATCTATCTATATTTTTAATATATTTTTGTTGATTTCAGAGAGGAAAGGAGACAGATAGAGAGAGATAGAAACATTAATGATGGGAGAGACACATTGATTGGCTGCCTCCTGCATGCCCTACACTGGGGATCAAGCCTGCAACCTTCTGCTGAGCTTTGCCGGCTGGGAGATAGATATCTATATTTTCATTTCCAAGTTACATGAAGTTTCACAAAATTTTCCTCTATTCTCCCCTTTACAGAGCAAAAGTACCCTAAAAGGTCAAAGTTTGGGGTTTTGAAAGAGGGTCTGTGCGCTAAAAAAGTTCCTATAAAAAAATGCATCCTATGAAAGGTCAGGCATGGAAGAATTATATGCAAATTAAAACAACCAAGGGCAGGATATGCTCAGCTGGCTGGTACCAAAAAACCTCAGACCTCATATGCAAAAAGGAAACTTAAAAACAAGAATCCTTGATTTTAGCACCACTCTTTTAAACTGTAGTTCAAATAGCATTACATATTTCAAAGGTGACCTTAAAATATTTATGCTATTGTTAATACAGGTGGATGCCTGGAAGGAACTGAAGACACTTGGGTGAAAGCAGCTGCATTACCTTTATTTTTCATGAAATTGTATGCTTTATTTCACTTCATATTTTATTTTATTTGGCAATATATAATTTTAAGAGTCCTCTAAAATGTCCAGAAACTTCCTGTTTCTAAAAGTGGCATACCCTCTTTTCTTTTCCAGCTAGCTTAAGACAGGGGTTCTCAAACTCTACAGAGCATCAGCTCACCTGTGGGCTTGTTAACCCACAGGCTGCCACAGCCATTCCAGGTGTTGCTCAGCGGGTCTGAGATGGGCCTGAGAATCTGCATTTCTACCAAGTTCTGGGGTAACGTTGATGCTGCTGGTCCCGTGACCACACTTTTAGGAGACCCACGGCTATCCAGGCCCATCTAATTTTTCCAGCTTCCGAATTGCACCCAAATCCCAAGGAACAAGAGATAATATAATAGTTTACATATCAAAGGTCCATTTGAATTTTATTTTGGTAATTAAAACTAAAAAAGATGTTTGTTCCCACCTCACAGAAACTTCTACGGTTCTCCAGGGAGGCCAATTTACCACGTGACTTCCTTTGTGGTGGGCTCAAAGTTAAGGAGATGCTTTTCTCTTTCTCACCCCTCCATCTACCCTTCAAATTTAGTGTAGCCTCTTAAGTGGCTATAGATTGTATATGTAGATTGTATATTGTATATCACTGGCCCGATGCCTGAATCCAGTTACAATCCCCTGAGCTTTTAGTAGATTTACCTGTCTCCCTATTGAAATGTCCAGTGGAACAAAGGAGAGGATGTACCTGTGGATCAACTGGTCTGAGCATAGGGGGGGTCCGAGCAGGCTGAACCCCACTGATACTGAAGGACTCCGACCTTGGGGGCAGATTGGGGTCAGATATCCTGTTGGCAACCTTGTGAGGCATGGCAGGTGAACTCTGCCGGTTAAGCCTGGTCCGTTCTTCTACCTAGAAACAAACGAACAAACAAACAAAAAAAAAGAGAGAGCGAGAGAGATTCAATGGACAGATGGATAGAAGCTGAATTACTTCCTATGAAGGATTTGCTTTAGTCATTCGAATAGCCATTTTTCTGTCCTTCTGATCAACTTATTTTCAAGGAGCCATACTCTCCATGTCTGTTCTGCACCAAGAATGTATGAAAAATCTCTTTTCTGTTAGAATAAACAGCATCACAAAAAACATAGAACACTTAGGCCGTCACCTTTCCCTTATTCATTATCTTGTGCCATTTCAGTTAGCTGGGAATTTGGGACCTGCTTAAGAGTTCATCTTGCATTGACTGAGATATTATCTTGCTGATTGGTCACAAAGCCGAGGGGTCAGGGAGGGAGACGAAGGGAACTACGACATACATTAAGTTTGCTTGGGAAAACAGAAAATGGCTCTGAGCATTGCCACTGCTAGGTATATGCCCCATATACTTGAAAACAGGAACTCAGATACTTGTACACCCATATTCACAATCACCAAAAGGTGGAAACAACCCAAGTGTTCATGGGCTGGTGAACGGATAAACAAAATGTAATATTATCACCATAAACAAGAAAGTAGTGCTGATACCGGCCACAACCAAATGAGTCTTGAAAACATTATGCTAACTGAAAGAAGTCAGACACAAAAGGTAAAGAATTCCGTTTAAATGAAATATCCAGACCAAGTAAATCCAGAGAGACAGAACACAGATTAGTGGATGTCAGAAGCTGTCAGGAGGGGAAAGGGGAGTGACTGCTTTAGTTGTCTCAGTCTGTGCCATCCTAAATTTGTGGCATAAAGAATCACTTAATACATTTTGCAAATGATGCCAGAATGGGTCCAGAGTGATAAAATTTCCCTAGGTTATAGTTTGTCCAAAAAAATTTGAGAATCTGTGAGAGGGGAGTAGCAGGAGGCATCTGGCTACTCAGAAGAAAACCTTGTAAGACATTTCAGAAAATGATGCTGCCCATTGCACCAAAGAGGCAACATAAATATTAAAAGAAAGGTTAAATCAAACATCCCAATACCAGCTTCAGATGGACAGAGGAGAAGCTGAGCAGTGTGTCCAGAAGCAGGCCCTTCTGATTATTTTGATACTAGGCCAGCCAACACCTGTCTCCTGATTCATTATATCTCATGTCTACAACCTGAATGAAAGAGAGAGATATGTGAGACAAAAGAAGGAAGTGTCTTCCCCCCAAATAAGGACATATGTGACTGAAAATTGGGGTACAATAAAGATATGTTACAATTTGCCTTACACAATAATAATAAAAATATCTATTAGCTGAAACTCTGCTCCAATCTCATGTTGCCAAGAAGACATAAAATACCAAAAGTACCACACACACACACAAAGTCTCTTAGTAGCATCAGACAGTGTCAAGGTGCCAGACCATACTAAAAAAAGAAATCTATTTCAAAGAATTTTATAGTTGAAGGGCTTATCCATGAATATGGAGAACAAGATTAGGAGAGATTCATCAATTACATTATAAAAACATTTTTTTCTTATTAAAAGAATCATTTTAACATAAAAACTAAAATAACTCTGGAGAGACTTGAATTACCTCTGCAGAAATGCTATACTACTTATTATAGCATTATAGGGAAAAAGAAAAAAATAACTGTGGTCTCAGAAATAAAATTTTGTTCCAGTCAGGGCTATGTTGTCCATTGGGTACTATAGGAGTGATGTCTAAGGCCTCTGAGATGTATAAAAGCTCACAAATATAGAAGACCTGCAAATAAATTCATTGATTACACGAACTCCAAAATTTTTTCAAAAGAAATGAAAATATACTAAGAAACACATTATATCAATGTCAATTGTTAAATTGCTCTGTATACTTGAAAACAATTTATAGGTTACAATCTCTCACTTAGCAATAATGAATATTTGCTGAGAGAATTTCAAAACAAAATTATAGAAGTAATTTTAAAAATGTTGACAGCAAATATATATTTATTATGTCATATGGGTGCACTTAAATAATATTTTATATGATGTAGGGCTGTGGGATCTATGAAGGTTTTAGAAGACTTTACTTAAGAGATGATATGTGGTGAACTGAACACAATCTTATGGAAATTCCTATTTATTCCAACTGAACAAAAACAGTTTGAATTTTTTGTTGTTAAGGCAATACTGGAGAAGGGGACAAGTCAACAAATAATTTTTAAGTGCTCACTAGATACTTTGATCCTGTACTTGCTAGTCACATAAAGAATTGAGCCATTTTGTCCTTTGGCAAAACCACATGGGCAGGGGGTTACAGAGTAGATTGGGGATATCACTTGTGAAGAATCTTTGAAGACAGGGAAGACTCATTCATATGAAATGCTAAAATTGCAGTGTTGTCTACAGATAAGGGCTTGACCTATTTTTCTCTCTAAAAATCAATAAGAGATGCCAGAGAAAAATATTGGTCCTCATATGAATAAACACATAACTTAAAAAAAGTGAGGGAAATCTTAAGCAGAGATAGGAAATGCATCTATCATTGAGGAAACAGGGGACAAGATATGAGACAAATGTGTAAACTGCTCATGTGAAATCTCAACCAAACACAAAAAAGTCAAACACATATTCCTTGTAGATGACAATGGCCTTGGAAACAAAATATAAATATATTCAATATTATATTTAAAGTGCATCTGCACAGTGCCTGTACTTTCAATGGCACATTCAGATGATTGCCCACAGGCAGGCAGTCTAGATGGGGTGCTGGGACTCAAGAAGGCTACAAGACCTGTCCCAGGTCACAAAGCAAGAAAGTAGAAGAACTTGAACTCAAAACTCCTTACTGCTTCCTCCTAGGTCTCTCTCAAGCAAAATCATAAGAAAGATAAGCAGAGACTGAGAAAAGGTAGGAGCAGAATTATAAACTCTAGAAATGGCAATTTAGGAACCTCATCTGTAAAATAATTCATATAAAGAAAACAACACATCAGTGTAGAGCAGAGAATACCAAATGGAGAATGGAGTTCTTATTAACAGGATTTCAAAGTCTAATGAGCTGATGGAACATAAAGAGATATTCTGGTTCCAGACCAGTATTGTTCAGGGGTTTGCATGTTGACCCAGGAGATCACGGTTCGATTTTTGGTAAGGGCACTTGCCCAGATTGCAGGCTCAATCCCTGGTGGGGGGCATGCAGGAGGCAGCCAATCGATGTTTCTCTCTCATTTATGCTTCTATCTCTCTATCCCTCTCCCTTCCTCTCTCTAAAAATCAATAAAAATATATTTCTTTTTAAAAAAGAGACATTCTGGCCAATTATTTGCCACATAAAACCATGGACAGATGACTGGCATACATCACAGAGAGAGAACATGAAAGAGTGTTAAAAATATTAAAATACAATCTCATGTTGGTAGAGCATTCTGTCACTGCTGTGTGTTAGTGCAAAAAGAGAGAGAGAGAGAGAGAGAGAGAGAGAGAGAGAGAGAGAGAGAGAGAGAAAGAGAGAGAGAGAGCGAGCGAGCAAGCAAGTGTGGTAGAAAGGCACAGGTCCAGACAATCATATACAATTTTAAGGAAAGTAATCTGTTCTATTATAAGAAAAAGAAAACTTCATCATTCAAAAAGTGACAGAAAAAGAAAGACTTTCACATTTTGCTGATATTTAACAGAATATCTCATTGATGTTTTCACAGAACTAATCTGATTTCCATCCCAATCCAGAAATAGCAAAGAATTTTAAAGGGGTGAAACTAATCCTCTTCCTTCTAATAGAAGTTACTAATATTTCTTTCTGCCTGAGATCTGAAAATCTAAGTGAATGTGACATTCAGGACAGATTGACATTCAGCCAAAGGAGAGAGGAAAGAGCTCAACAAGATTTGCAAATGATCAAGTATTTTCATTTGCTCTTACTGCATCCATCAAACTGATGAGAAAGGTAATGAGAAATGTGATGATGACTATGTTTCACAAGATGAACAACAAAAAAACACAGAGGAAGAAGCATTATCACAACATAACATTGCAAGGACAAAATGTGGATTTGGAATAAGGAAGAAAAGTAAGTGGGTGGAAAAGTAATCAAAGAAGGAAAAACCATTTTGATAGGAATGTAGTTGAGCTAGAAAATGAACACTGGAACAGATCATAGAGGAGGCTGCATGGGTAGAAGATGGCTGGGTGGCATCCTCAATGGCCCATGGGGCAAAAAGCCCAGATCCAGTATCGTAGGAGACCATGGCATGGGTACAGCTACCCACTCCTTCCTGGTGAGGATATTTTAAAATTTATATCCTGGCAGAGGATACATTTGAAAAAGGAAAATGGTACCTTTTATTATATATTCAAAAGAGAGTTTAACCCAGGCTCTTTTTATCAGTTGATAACTTATATAGTGCTGAGCTTGAGAGTCTGTCCATATCTAAAGTATTGGAATTTATGTTACTGTTTAGCTACTTTGAGCCCCACCTATCTTCCTACTATAAGAAAAGAGATCTGTAAATAATGCTCTAAAAGAAAAGTTCATACATTGCTCGTGAGAAACATGAAAGGTTAAGATGATAAGAATCCTCACTCATTTTGATTCTTATTTTAAGAAATTGCTAAAATAATGATGAATCAAACCAACACAATCATTTGTTGTTATTTTTACACCAGTTGCTCCAACCCCAAATTTAGCACTTGTCACTAATTTTATCATCTAAATGCTTCATCTTTCTTCTAAAATATGAACACCTACTTTAAAACTTGGGAACTGTTTCATGAATAGATGGATGGTTAGTTGAAAGCTGGATTATGCTAATCACACCCAGGAGGATAGGTCTAAATATGCAATCCCCAAAGAATGCTCTCACATGGCTAGAAGTGCATGGAGTCCAAAGGACAGCACCAGCTGCTAGGGCCGCCAGGGACCTTGGAAGATGTCACCCCCAGTGGTGATGGCCCAGACTCATCTGGAGTGCTTGATGACACGGCCATGTTGTTTGCACACCCAATTGCTATGTCCCTTTTACTGCCAGGAGCCTGGCCAGGAAGCACAGGGAATCAGGAGTCCTAGAAAACTGCTCTGGTAACACCTGCAAAGATTTGTCCTCAGGAATGCCTTGGCTTCTGAAAGCTCAGGAACTGTGAACTACTTCTGAATAGAGAGGACAGGCCAGGACATTTAAAGATGAGGACTGATAGGAACTAGAAAACAATGAAGTAAAAATGGTTAAGTTCAAATCAGAACATGCTAGGTAGAGGCATAAGGAAGGAAGTGGAAACTGCTCCAGGCTTTCCCCCCTTTTTTGGCACAGGGGAAAGAAGGAATTCTGGGGTGCTTAGCAAGGTATCAAGGTTTTCTCCAATGGGATCTGCAGGTGTCCTTGTCTTAATCTTGTGGCTGGGAACACTGAAGGCCAAGTGCATGCATCCAGGAGAGGTGCTTTAGTGATGCAGCACTTCTTAGAGGAGATAAGGTGCCTGTAAGAATGTATCAATTCATGGCCCTCTTGTATGGAGGTCCATATGCGTCTCTAAGGCCCTCCTTAATTGCAGCAATGGACAACCGGGGACTTATCACTTTGGAGATGTTGGGGGCGGACGCACAAAAGCCCTTAGATCCTAACTCTGTTGTTAGGCTACATCCTTGTGAGCAAGATCACTTTGGAGATCTCACGATGGTCCTTGAAGCTTCTGGGGCTTCAGATGTTCTTCAAGACCAAGTCTAATAGGACAAGCTGGTTATTTTTCTCCCATGATGCTCAAACAGGTGTCTTGATCTGGAATCATTAATTTCTGCAAGTGCTACTGGCATTAGTTTAGTAGAGGTTAGGTTTTTAGTCTTCAGAAGACCTGCCATAATCAGGAGCTGTAAGTCTGGCTTAGCTGAAGGTTTCAACTTGGCATGCCAGAGAATGGTTTAGCAGTGGAAGGAGATGGCACATCTCTGCCAGCCAGAATGCACATCACCTGTTGTTTAATAGCATAATGATTCTGCTTAGCTGGAAAAAGAGGGCAGTTATTAAGGAGTTGGCACTACCTGTGGGAGTAGGATCACGGAGTTAAATTATTGACCTAAGAGAAAGAGGCAGCTGTTACAGACATAGGCAAATGTAAATCATATTTACAGACTCAAAGGGAAAATGATTGAACATGTTCTTGATAGAAAATCAAATTATTTTCTCAACAAATTGAGTTGTTTAAGTTTGAAAAGAAAAAAGTATTTTTGTAAAAACAGTGCATAATCCTTACAAAGGACTTAAAGGAAAAAAATCCTGTTGTTTCTTCCTCCCATACACAACTGTCATTAACATTAGGACAATGTCATTTCAAGCATTTTCTATACATATGAAAGAGAATAGAAAAAAAAAATAGAATCTTATGTAAGAAATGTGGTTCTGGTAATACTGTAGTCTAGATAACTTGAAATAAGCTCTAACTATAAATACCTGAAGGTACTAGAAAAACACACAGAATAATGCCATCATCCTTTTAAATGATGAGCTACACTCAGAAGGAAATAAAGGAGATCACTAAGTGCCACAAATAAGGACAGAACTGAAAACCAGGGTATTATGCAAACAAGGTGATACTGTGACTCCCTAGAAGAGTTGTTGGTCTTGGCTGGCTGGAGTTATTATTTTGTTTGCTTTATCTATTATATTTGGTTATCACCCTATTTTTCTACCATCCCAATTGTTATTAATGAGATTTTTAAAAATAGCTCACCACAAAGCCAAGTTCCTAAAATTTTTTTCATCATTGAGCAAAGAAAGGACCACTACTTTGGAAGTATTTGCAAAACAAATGATTTTTACCTAGAATTCATTACATCCTGGGCCATATAATTCTATGGAAAACTCACTAAAATTCCTCATTCTTCAAACTCATTTGGACACCTACAAGGAAAATGATTTTTCTACTTCCTATTTTTGCTTACGAAAATTCACTGCATTCGAAAAGATAAAAAATAAATAAATTAGGTGACTTGCCATTTCTCTACAGAAATAATGTTATGGCTCTTCCAGAGGCTGTGTGCAGACATTACAATGAATCATTTTCTGGATTCATAGAACTAGTCGGACTCTCCGCTTTTGCCGGATAAACTCATTATGGCCAATAGCCTGCCAACAGGGCACTGTTCCACTTGCTTGCTCACTTACCTCCTTGGCCCACGCTGGCTTCTCACTAGGACTCATTCCCTCTTTGTAATGGTACAGCGGCTTCTTCTCCACAGGCCTCTGCTCCTGCCTTTGATGCTGAAGGGAAACCAAGTAGTCTCTCTCTTGCTTTAGCTGTCTCTGCAGTCTTTCCGCTTGTCTCTGTTCTTCCAATTGTTTGCGCTTATATTCCTGTCCAGGCCAGGAAAGAGCAGCAGAAAAAGGCCAAATCACCATACAGAAACCATTGGCCAGTACCAGCTAAGCATGCAATGGCGTCAAAAGTGGTGCTAAGTAACAAAGGACCTCGATAATGACAGAACCACAGGGAGGATATCAGGATGTGCCACAGGGAAAAACTACAGCTTTGGCTTAACATCTACACAGAATGTGGCATTTAATCAAAACACGATGGCTTTAATGGCAATCCCTACAGAACACTACCCATTGCAAAGCAACTTATCCTTGATGAGTTACCACCAAGAAAGTGGCAATAATGAGGACATTTGGATGGTCAGTACACAATCCCTATTAAGGACCATCCACTTCCTAATTGAGTAATTAAGCCAGTCAAGCACGTACAACCAAGTACAAAACTGAAAAAGTGGCTAAAAACTTGCCTAAGCCATCATTTGTTTAGCAGAACTTGGATCAACAAAAGCCATCAGCAAACTTACGTGCAGGCTAAAAAATATACGTAGTGCCACCAAATAAAAATTCAGTTAAAAAAAAAAAGACATCAAGAAACTCATTTGGGGAGCACTGCAGTAATAATAAAAAGTACTTCAAGTGGAAGCTGCAAAATGTTCCCATCGTGAGGGTAAAACTAATAGTCTGCAAATGAAATATGACTGCCAGGCTGGAAGAGGTACATTTTGTGTGATTGTGTTCTAACATGTTGCCAATGACCTTAAAAATCACTCTGCAATAAACACAGTCTCAAAAATAGTCTAAACTTATACTAAGGCTGTATTCATGCTAAAGTTTTACAGACAGATGGAATAACTAAGGAACACATAACAAATGTATTAAATGTTCTGAGACTCGGAAAACTGGGTCAGGAAATCTAGGAAGTTTCCATGAGATTTTCGAGGTCCACAGGCTCAAAGGCTCTCCTCTTCTGGACTGGCACATTAGGAGGACACACACACATACACACGTGCACACACATGCGATGAACACAGAGCAGGTCAGCTGGCTCTCGGCTTTCCCATTACCAGAAGTAGAGCTTGTTCATGCAGTAGCTGCTGCTGCAAGATCTCTAACTGTCTCTGCTCCTCCTCTAACTGTCGCCTGATGTACTCCTGGAGAGGTAGGCAGCAGAGAATTCAGAGGAACACCAAGAGAGAGGGAGAGAGAGAGAGAGAGAGAAAAAAAAAAGGAACAGGTAATTTCAAAGGTTGACAAGAGCTGCCAAGTAAAGTGTGAAAGGAAGGAGGGGAAAAAAATACCCAGCCACCTCCTCACCAAACAGGAAAAGTACGCTGCACCCAAGCAGAAGCATTTCAAGGCAGTCAAAAGCACAAGCTGGCTGCCTGCAACCGCTGACGGACATGGCTGGGGCTGTTTGGTTTTAATAAGCCCAGCTATATTGTAAAGCTTTTCATGACAGTTTCCCTCTTTAGGAGCTACCTGCAATGAACAACGCTAGGAAGTGTGGGGGCTCCTGTGCAGGCAGCAGGGATGCAATAATTGCTGAAGGCCATTGTGTGCCCCGTCTTTGTACCGGAACTACCCTGCAGGGTGTTGCTGTGCTCTCAGAATGGGACTCTAACAAAGACACAGGGGCCTGCATCAATGGCTCAAAGTCCTGGCAACCAGAGATGGCCTGCACAGAAAAGCTCTTCTGAAGCAACGGAAGAGTAAGGTGTGGCTTGTGGATCACGCTTCAGTGCCACCTTCAAAGTAGAAACCCAGGGCTGGGAGAGTCATAAGGTCAGGGGGCTCTGGCCTGGGTAGGAAGCAAGGCGGAATGAGTGGACATTGCCAGGGTTGTGCCTTTGACTTCTTGAACAGGTGAGAACAGCTGCTTGAGAAAGAATTAAACGCCTGCTGACACTGAGCAGTCCCAGGAGAAGGTGACCCACGCCCCAGAGACAGCTGGTGCCTGAGTTCACCCCGGGGCCACCCCTGCTGACCTGCTCATGCTCCGCGCGCCTCCGCTCCTCCTCCCGGCGCATCTGCTCCTCATAGTGCCGGCGCTGCTCCCGCTCCTGCTGCTTCCGCAGCTCCTTCTCGCGCCTTTGTTGCTGTGGGGCAACAAGCAGACAGCCATGAAGGAACCGAACACAGTTGGGGGGTGTCGGGAAACCAGCAGGGAAAGCTGCGGAACCGCCCGTGGGAGCTCTTAACGAGAGATGTCTGCAGGCCCGGAGGCTCTTTCTCTCCAGTGTTATTGGGGGACCCGTTGGCGAGAATGAGGGAAGAAGTACCCTTGGCAGTGATAAAGCAGTCTCTGCATGTATAGTACGGCATAGAGAACGTAGTCAGTAATAGTACGATAACCACAGGCACTAAAATAGTGAGAAAAACACTTTGTAAAGTATGATTGTCTAACCCAAGCATGTCAAACTCAAAAGCCAAATAAACAAGGTTTAAGTTTATGTGGGCCGCAAAAAACAAAAAACAAAAAATAAAGGCTTCCATTTTCATAGAAACGTAGGTTTATTTAGAAAGAGACAGCTGAATACAAAGGGCTGATATACATGAGTAATCATTAATGGGTACACATTGTGGACCGCAAGTTTGACATGCTTGGTCTAACTACTATGCTGAACACCTGACACCAATACAAAATATTGAAAGAAAAAAAGAAAAAGAAAAAGAAAAATGAGGTGACAGAGAGCAATCCTGTGTCACACAGAGAGCAATTCGGTGTCACATAGACACCTGTTATTTACCATGCAAATAGACTTTCTAGGTTTATGCATCTCTCCAGAGAAGTGCATGCTCCCAATTGATTGATGGGGGTTTTAAATCAGGGGTAGAAACACTGAGATATAACAAGCTACTCATTATATCTTATCAAACTGTTTATGAGGCTATCTAGGTTTTCAAGCACATTCACAACACTCATGTCATTTGGTCTTTTTAAAATAATATATATTTTTATTGATTTGAGAGAGAGAGAGAGAGAGAGAGAGAGAGAGAAACATCAATGATGAGAGAGAACCATTGATCAGCTGCCTCTTGCATACCCCCAATTTGGGATCGAACCTGCAACCTGGGCAAGTGCCCTGACCGGGAATCAAACCATGACCTCCTGCTTCACAGGCTGATGCTCAACCACTGAGCCAGGCCATCTGGGCTCATTCAGTCTTTTGGATACCATGTAGTGCAGACACTTCATACTACAGAAAGCAAAGACCAGAGAGGAAAAGCGACACATTTAAGGCTACACATTGATTAATGGCTGAGGGTACAGTAGAATGTACTGGCTCCCACTGTTTCTGGTACACCATGCTGCCTTTTTTTATTTCCTGGAGTACTCATTTTAAAGTATCAATTTCTAGTTCTCACTCAAGTAAGACGCTTTAGCTCAGGAACCACCATCATCTCATCCAATTACCATCCTTCTGACAGGGGACAGTGTGGTAAGCACACCTCATGCTTTCTCTTATTTAATACTCACAAAAATCTTCTGAGGCAGACATGACTATTATCCTCCATTTTATATGACAAAACCGAGACACAGAGAGATTAAATAATTGTTTAAGGTCATGCCCACATTCAAGGTCAAACCAGGAAATCAAGTGATGGAGCCGGATTTCAAAGCCTAGAGCTGTACCTCCAATCTGAGCTCAAGCATATACAAAAGGTGAAGAGGCCACAGGAGTGATAGAAAGATCACAGATTAATCAGGCTCTTCCTTACACTCTCAGGAAAGAGGAACATCTTAGGAGTAGTCACAGGAGCCAATGTTTCTCAACTAGGGATAGTACTGTTCCAGCCACTGGAGCATTTGGAATGTGTGGGAAATGTGGGAGGTTTCTAGTTGTCCCAATGACTGAGGGATGTGCCTGCCATTTAGCATGAGAGGCCAGGGATGCTGAAGGTCTGCAATACACAGGATAGTCATACATTACACAGTACTTTCCATGCCCCCTGCCACTCGTGTCTTTTTTGAGACATGCCACAGGCAGGCCCTTCCCTTTGTGTCAGAGCCCAGTAATGGTGTTAGGATCTCTTCTTCCTCAAATACTCGGTTTGGAGGGGACGTCTCAGGGGGTCCATTCCCTTGTAATATTCTCCACAACAATTCCCTGCCCAGCTGAGGAAACATGAGTTACTCATAACAGAATGGATTGTGACTGTACCCCACTGACAAGCTAGCTCAGCACAGCCAGGGAAACAGCTTTTAGTACAAAAGCTCTGTCACAGCCCCAGTGCCCACAGATCCTCAAAGCTCCAAAGAAGCCCAGAGCGAGGAGGCCATTGTGATGTGGCTCCCGCCTGCGGTCCTCTGGGCTGCTGTCTTCCCATCACCTTGGAGGCTCGGAAGATAAGCTGCATATTTTGAGGCTCAACGTCTATCATGTCCAGATCTACTGTTACTTGTTCACCTTAGATGGCAGGCGACGGGGAGCCACTGGTGAACTATGTGCAGTCCCATGCCATGATCAGACTTGCATTTTCAAGAGGCTTCTTAACAGCCAGGGGAGGATGCAAGACTAGAAGCTAGAATGCAGTGTGAGTGATTCAACGGATGCAGGCAGGAAAAGAGAGGGCACTGATGAGCAAAGCAAAGGCAGTGGGAGTCCAGGTTCGTAACCCTTACAGACAGTGGAGATGCAGCCAAAAGGAAGAGAGTTGAAAACCTACCCAGATTTTCGGTTATTTTAACAGGAAAGGAGTGGATGCTAACTTAGAAGTAGAAATTGGAACTGGGCCAAAATAAAATAGGTAGTTAGGTGTTTATGAGGTGTGTGAGGGTGAGTGATGTTCTTGCCACGGAGCATGGCAGATGGTGGGATAGTGAAGAAAAAGCAGGTTTAGGAAAGGGAATGAGGGGCAGAGGGATGAGTCAGGTTCCAGACACGTGATTATTGCCTTACAGAAAAAATCATACAGGGAGATGTGAGTAGAAAACATCATCCCAGGAACTGACTGAATAACTTGGATTATGGACCCAAACCAGAGGTATTTCCAACACACAACCAGAGCAAATCAATGCCAGCCCAGAGAATAAAAAATAATTATGTGTACAGATCTGGCTCCTGGCAGGAAACAGCTCTAATCTAGCTAACATTTCAAGTTTTTTTTTTTTTTTTTTTTTTTTTTTTTTTTACCATTGGCCTCTTTCTTGAGGAAAATATTAATCAAGCCTTGGGAAGATTGAGCTGATTTTTATGTGAAGGATTTGTACATTTTTAACCTTTTTGCTAGGAATCAATACTCTTTTATAATCACACGCCACTCAGGTCCCTGCCCAAGGTGCACACAGTATTGATTGCAATTGAAGGGGGTGTGGGCTTCCCAAGTACTCTGTAGTTTCTGAGAAAGACACTCAAAAGTGGCTAATAATTAATACTGATCTCACTCAGATCAGCTGCTGCTAACTCGGGCAGGCATCTGCCAGGGCTTTGGTTCCTGTGGCGCGTCTGGAAAAATAAACCACTTCCCCAACCTTCTGAGGGCACCTTGCCAATTTCTAGCTGCTGTGTCTCCATGTTAATGCCTTTCCAGGAAAAAAAAAAAAAAGTTTGCTCTCTCTCCTCCTGGGCATTGGGCTGTCGGAGGGGACATACCAAAACATGTAAGAGAAAGACCAAATCCTGGGCCTCAAGCAGACACCTTTACAAAGCTCTGATGACTCTCTGGAAGCAGCTCTTGAGGCTTGATCCTGGTGGGCCCCCAGCCTCTCCCATAGGGCCTGGCACCTAGAGGGTGCACAGAGGGTTTTGTTGAACTGAACTGAGTAAAAAGTTTGGGGCAAAAGAAGGCAACACAGTATCCTCCAATGTTTCTGTGGCAGTATGTCCCTTCCTATTAGTGTTTACAGGTTACACCACATTGTACCTCATATTATGGTTATCTGCGAATGCCTTACCTACTCTCAATCTAGGTTAAAAGCTCTTTGTGGACAGGGTCTCTGTTCCACTCCAGTTTTTATCTCCCACTATATCCGATATAGGGCTGCATACCTCTGGTACTTGTTGCTTGGGCAGCAAGAAAAGGAGAGAAAACCATGCAGAGCCACCCTTCTAAGACCTCCAGGCCTTTTATGCAGAGTACAGGCAAGACCCAAGATTTTTTTTTTTTAAATAGAGACCTACCTACGGTTTACACTGGCATAGTATCTATTGGCTATTGTAGAGAAATGCAGAAGAAAAAGAAGGGAATCAGCATGTAGCTAGAAAGAGTGGAAAGAGGGAAAAAGATTTCATTCAGATTACGCATAAAGATGTCAGTGGTTCTGCGGTCAAAAAAAAAAAAAAATGGCTTAAACCAGTGATCGGCAAACTCATTAGTCAACAGAGCCAAATATCAACAGAACAACAAATGAAATTTCTTTTGTGAGCCAATTTTTTTAAACTTAAACTTCTTCTAACACCACTTCTTCAAAATAGACTTGCCCAGGCTGTGATATTTTGTGGAAGAGCCACACTCAAGGGGCCAAAGAGCCGCATGTGGCTCGCGAGCCGCAATTTGCCGACCATGGGCTTCGACCAACTCCTCTAACGTTCATGGCAGATGCCCCACCTAGAAGGACCTTCCTGCAAGTATATTTTCATCCACCTCTTGTTAGAGGCACCTCCAACAGTTACATCACTTAAAATTAGATATTCAGTGGGTTCTTATAAGTTTCCTATTTTGTTTATTTAATTCCTGGTTGGGGGATGACTGATAATACTCGCTCCAGGTTAAAATCATTGTAGCCTTGTTTGATAGAATAGGTCACCAGGGGCTTCTTGTTTTCCTTGTACTCTGTGGAGGTTCCCAAAGAATGATTTTTCTTTAATAACAGTCTGATCCTCTCCATGGGTGTTCCCCCTCCAGCCACATTCTGTGTGGCTGCACATTCAAGTATATGAATCCATAAATATTTTTTTTAATATATTTTATTGACTTTTCACAGAGAGGAAGGGAGAGGGATAGAGAGTTAGAAACATTGATGAGAGAGAAACATCGACCAGCTGCCTCCTGCACACTCCCCACCGGGGATGTGTCCGCAACCAATGTACATGCCCTTGACCGGAATCGAACCTGGGACCTTTCAGTCAGCAGACTGATGCTCTATCCACTGAGC